GCCCGACAGCGACCGGCGTCGTTCGGCGTCTCGGGTGTTCGCGGAGAAGGCCGCGGCGGAAGGGCGGCGGCGGCTTGCCGTACTTCGGGTGTCCGCAGAGCCCCCGGCGCCCGCGTCCTCGCCGTCATGTCCTCCCCTCCCCCACCGACCGGTTTTGTTCTATTTCGAGGCTCTATCGGCTCGCGGAGGGTTCTGGGAGTCGCTCAAGCCGCGGTGGGATCCGGTGGTTCTCGCGCACAGCCTTCTGGGATTTGTAGTCACGCTGGTGCAGGACGGAAGTGCCAGTCCTGGGTGGTGGGGTGTTGTGGGGCCTCTGCGGCCCTTCGCAGTGGTTGCTGGGAAGAGGACATCGGCCAGAGTTACTGGGGCTGCCTGGGCTCGGCGCTGTGAGGCGGGAGGTCGTTGAAGACTAGGATCCCGCCAGGTGCTCGACGGCGTTCCTCCTCCTCCCACGAGCCTGGTGCAGTACAAAATAGGAGAAAAAGCAATTTCTATTACGTAGAAATGCTTGAGCAGTTGATAGGGTCGGGTCCAGGAATAGGAACAAATAACTTGGATTTTGCTGTCAGGCCATCATTCCACTCAAGAATATTTAACGGATCTATATGGTCTGTCTGTTTGATACGGTATTTTCTGATTCTTTGTCTTCACCTTGACAGGTTTCAGTAAGGTTTTCTTAAGTTTCTGTTTTTTTTATATTCTTGGCTCTGATAAATAATAAATAGTGGCTGTAAAGCTTATTCTTCCTCTGTTTTGTTTTGTTGTTTTCAAGGCAGGGTTTCTCTGTGTAGCTCTGGCTGTCCTGGAACTCGCTCTGTAGACCAGGCTGGCTTCGAACAAGGAGATCCACCTGCCTTTGCCTCCTTAGTGCTGGGATTAAAGGTGTGCACCACCATTGCCTAGCTAAGTTTATTATTCGTGATGTGCTGTGAACCGTGACATTGGTATGATTTTGCAGATTCTAAAAGGATGAGAAAGTAGCTCACAGATTTCCCCAAAGGAAAAGCTAGGGAAGCTATGTAAGGAAAAAGACTCCAGGCCACTGTGAGAAGTTGTAAGTGCTTTTTCCCATAGCATTTGCTGCAGGGGATGAACTGTCGCTGTAAGTTTAAATGCATGTATGGTGTGGTGGACGCCTAAATACCATTTGCATGTTACGTGAAGTAGTTTCTTCCCCCGTGTTACGTGATCCGTGATCCGTTACTGACCTGTGTAAAAGTGAATCTGTAGCAAAAGCCAGTAGCCCAGTTAGCTTTGCTATGTAAATGAGGACAGTCTTGCTTCACCTAGCTGCTGGGGTTACGGGTTGAGGACACCAGAACCAGCTACAAGTGAACAGAACATTTTCACATATATTTTGTTTAAGGGGTTCCTAAACAATATTTTTTTAACTTTAAAGAAATAGTGTGTGTGTGTGTGTGTGTGTTCCCATTCTGAGCAGTAGCTCAGCAGTAGAACACATTTGCATGGTACTTGTATACAGTCTCTAACCATGGGGGTGGGTGGGGACAGTTGACCTGTTTCCTAAAACAGATTTGTAAAGACAAAAAGAAAAGTGAGTATGGGGCTTGCTCCAGAGTGGCAACCGTGGTGGATCCCAGATTCTACACAGAAGGGGAATGAACCCTGCATGCTGTCCTCGGACTTCCACACCTGGACTGAGATGGACAAACACAAAATTAGTGTCAAAAAATGTTTTAAGTGTCCTATGGTTCTGAATATTTAGCTTTTTATTTTATGTATATGTGTCCCATGTGTCTACCTGGTGCCTAAGGAGGCCAGAAGAGAGTTCTGGGGTGCTGGAATCAAATCTGGGTCCTCTGCAAGGGCAATTAAGCATTCTTACTTGATGAACCAATTCTTCAACCCTAAGGGTTTAGAACATCTGGAGAACACTGCAGTAGATGGGATCTTACGTGGGTTCTTCCATTATAGCCTGAACTATGATTAAATGTAATGATTTATAAATACAAATTTAAAAAATATGGGGCCGGAGAGATGGCTCAGTGGTTAAGAGCACTGACTGCTCTTCAAGAGGTCCCAAGTTCAATTCCCAGCACCCACATAGCAGGTCCCAGCTGTCTGTAACTCCAGTTCTAGGGAATCCAACACCCTCACACAGATACACATACAGGCAAAAACAGTGCACATAAAATAAATATAAACCATTTTTTAATTTAAAGTATTTTTTCATTTTATGTGGTATATGTATGTGTGTATGTATGTGTGTATATGTGTATGTATATGTGTGTGTAGTCTTGCACATGTTATGTCACACTTGAGGCCAGAGAATAACAGAAGAAGTAGGTTCTCTCCTATGGAATGCTGGTTATCAGAGTCAAGTCACCAGGCTTGGCAGCAGGTATCTTTGCTGACAGAGTGGCCTTGCTAGCCCTAGACAGATACATCATATTTTCCTATCATAAAATGTTTCTATGCCTTTTAGCAATTTAAATTGTTACACTAGTCTACTATGGCTAGTGTAAATTTTTACACTGCTCTCATTATAGGCAGTAGGCTAGATTTGGCTGTAGTCTGCTACCTATGGTAGCATTTCAATCAATATAGACTATTGATTGAAATTTTTAATTCAGTAAAAACAATTTTTTTTCTGCTGCTTTCAAATATCTTGGGGTATTTGGTAATTTATGTGTCTTTTATTTCTTATCCCTTAGGAGTACCTTTGAGGAAAGCAGAGTACTTCTGTGAGTACAGTCTATATCCTGCCTCAGATACCTTTTCCTGAAGGATTGTAACAGGATGTCTGCACAGTCGGTGGAAGAAGATTCAATACTTATAATCCCAAATCCAGATGAAGAAGAAAAAATTCTGAGAGTGAAACTCGAGGAGGAGCCTGATGGTGAGGAGGGAGCGAGCGTGTCCTGGAATCATCTCCCTGACCCAGAGGTTTTCCGACAGCGGTTCAGGCAGTTTGGCTACCAGGACTCACCAGGTCCCCGAGAGGCTGTGAGCCAGCTCCGAGAACTTTGCCGTCTGTGGCTCAGACCAGAGACACACACTAAGGAACAGATACTGGAGCTGGTAGTGTTGGAACAGTTTGTTGCCATCCTACCTAAGGAACTACAGACTTGGGTTCGAGACCATCACCCAGAAAATGGAGAGGAGGCAGTGACCGTTCTAGAGGACTTGGAGAGTGAACTTGATGATCCTGGACAGCCGGTGAGCATGTCTGCTGATGGAGGAAGGTCATCTGTCTATGTGTTACTTTCACTGGTTAATAAAGAAATGCCTTAGCCCTTTGACAGGACAGAAAATTAGGTAGGCAGAGTAGACCGAACAGAATGCTGGGAAGAAGGGAAGTGAGGCAGACCCCAAAGCTTCTCTCCAAGATGGATGCCGGTTAGAATTCGTCCCGGTAAGCCACAGTCAAGTGGCAATACGCATTAATAGAAATGGGTTGAACCAATATGTAAGAGCTAGCCAATAAGAGGTTATAACTAATGGGCCAGGCAGTGTTTAAAAGAATACAGTTCTGTGTAATTATTTCTGGGGTAAAGCTAGCTGGGCGGGTGGTGGGAAGCAGCCCACCGCTTTTACTACAGAGTGGCACCCAACGTGGTAACTAAATCCACTTAAAAAACTGAGAGAGCTTAAAAATAAGGGAAAGAGAGTTTAACACAGATTTTGCTGTTTGCTAGGGCGTGCTGTAGAGAGATTTCCTGACTCAGCAGCCTCAGCAAGAAAAAAGCTGCATCATTTTAAAACATAGCTTCCTGGGCCTGGCGCCGATGCAATCTCTGGTTATGGAGCATTTCTGGGCATAACCAGTCTGCCTCATTTTTCCCAAGTCAAAAACACTCATATAGCAGTAGGCAAACTGCTGATAACTTCACTGGACTAGGTTAAACTTATGTGTGTGCCTCCCTCCTGTTCATCTGCCACTCTGCAATACCTGTGCTGCTCTGTGGTTGGGATTTTCTTTGTGCCGCCAAACAGCTCCCAAATGAAGACACGGAGACATTATTAATTATGAGTGTTCCACTAACTCTGTTAACTTAACCTGTTTCTGTTCATCTTCGTTGTGCTGCGGGGCTTTTTACTTTTCATTCTGTATGTCCTACTTTCCTGCTTCCTTCCTGTCTGGCTGACCGGCCCTTGGTGTTTCGCTATCATTTCCTATTCTTCTCTGAGCCTAAATCCCTCCTCCTACTTACTCTCCTGCCCAGAAGTTCCTTCCACCTATACCTCCTCCCTTGCTGTTGGTCATTCCGCTTTTTCTTAAACCAATCAGGTGCCGTAAGCAGGCAAAGTAAAACAGCAGCACATCTTTACATGATATAAACAGATGCAACACATCTTTACGTAGTTAAACAAATATTCTGCAACACTGCTCTGCTGTCTAGGACATAGTATTGCATTTTTTGTGGTGTCTCTTATGTGCTAAGTATCAAAATTCCTTCTCAACCAAACTAAAACCTTGTTTTCAGGTTTCTCTCCGCCGGCGGAAACGGGAAGTGCTTGTAGAAGAGATGTCTCAAGAAGACGCTCAGGGATTACCAAGTTCGGAGCTTGATGCTGTAGAGAACCAGCTCAAGTGGGCATCCTGGGAACTCAGCTCTCTGAGGCACTGCGGTGAGGACCAGAACTCTATGGGGCCCACCTTTCCCAGAGTGCTTTGCTTGTTTTTTGGAGAAACACTTTTAAGCTGCTGTTTAGAAATTGCTGTGTGTGAAAAACCTGAATTTCCTGGTGGCCGACTCCCTGGCCTTGGGATTCTTTACTCCTCGGCTTTAGCATCTCTAGCTTTTCTTTCATGACGACCGCCCATACGGGGGCTTCGGTCTGCATGATTCTACGCCAGTGCCTGTAGACCATGTCTGTTTCATACACGGCCCTGCTTATCTGCCATCTGCTGTGTGCTCTCTTGTTCTTGATCTCCTGCCTAACTGTATTAATATGGTGAACTTACTTGAAGTCTCCTTCAACCTTTTATTTTATTACTTGAAGTCATCCTAAAATTTCAGCTATTTCTGGTTTTTATTTTTTTGCTTCAATATTTTTTTAAATTAAGAAACTTTCCCCCCACATTTTAATTTATTTTATCTGTATGGGTGTTTTGCCTTCGTGTGTGTCTGTAGCATGTATATGCTAGGTGTCCTTGGAACTCAGAAGAGGAAGTCAAATCCCCTGGAGCTGGAGTTACAGATGGTTGTGAGTTGCCACATGGGTGCTGGGGATTAAACCTAGGTCCTCTGGAAGAGCAGCCAGTGCTCAAACACTGGGCCATCTCTGCAGACCCGTTAAGAAGCTTTTTTAAAAGATCTTTTAAATAAAAAGTATGTGTGTTTGTGCGTGAGGATGTGCATGTGAGTGCGGGTACTCAGTACAGGGGGAGCCCTGGATTCCCTGGAGTTGTCAGTGGCTAACGAGCCACACAGTGAGGGTGCAGGGAGCTGAACTCGGCTTTTTTGCAAGAACTGTATGTATGTGCTCTTAACCACTGAATCATCTCTACAGCCCTCTAGAACTTAAAAAATAAAAATAAGAAACTCAGAAATGAGACGAGGGTAAACTTTTTACTTTTTCCTAAGTATTTATTCAAACTAGGCTCCCAAGCTATAATATGGCTTAAATGCAGAAATACCAAAGTATAATTGTAATAATTCAGATTTTTTTGTTTCTAGTATACTGGAACTTAATGCTGTGTGCTTGTTTATGTGACCTAGGATGCTAATTGCTGTGCTGGTGTTTTGTTTGTAGGAAGTTTGTTTGCGAGTGCTTCAGGAGTCAGTCTTTGAGGTAGACGGAGATAATGTTGGTTTGCCACACTTTAGGACATGAGCAGGTTTTCTTCCTGTGTGAGGGGATGGTGCTGTAAATCAGAGCTGAGGCAGAGGTGCGGTCCGCTCACTACTGTGATTTTCTCTAGCTCGTGGGATGTTGTTCAGTGCGCTCCTCGGAGGTGTGCTTTCATGGGTAAAGCTGTTCCCTTCCTAAATTCTAGGTTGGTTTTCCATGGTTGGCCTCATTTTAGCAGTCTGGCCACTTTCACGTTCAGAAAGTTCCATTTATTTCATGTCACATGTCCTCACTCACCCTTCATACTTGACTTTTCAAGTAGCTAAGCCACATTAGCCCTCCGGGCCCTTGGGGCTCCCTCCCTCCGGCTTTCCCACTTGACTGGCCCGTGGTGGCATCTGTCATTGGCCACCCGAGTGCCGCTGCTCACCGGAGCCCCTGTTCCACTGTGTGGCTTCAGCTTCAGGGAGCTGTTGGTGAGTCTTGCTCTTTCCTCTGCCTGTGAGTAGAGGAAAAGCCTGTAAAATTGAGGCTTTTTTTCCTACACGTATCTCACTCAGACTTAAAAGGAACAATGTTTCTAGCTTCTGTGACAAATAGTAAATTGCGGCAAGCTTCTTTAATACAGACTTTTCATTTATTGTGTATTGAAGTTCTGAGTGGCGTGGCTTTAACATGGGCTCCCCTCAGGTCATCCTTAGCTTTTTTTGGTTTTATTTGTTCTGGGGTTTTTTTTGTTTTTTGGGTTTTTTGTTGTTGTTGTTGTTGTTGTTGTTGTGTGTGTGTGTGTGTGTGTGTTTGTTTTTTGTTTGTTTGTTTGAGACTGGGTCTCTGCCTGGTCTGAATCTGGCCCTGAATTCCCTGCCTCTTCTGCCTCCTGTGGGTGCTGGAGTTCAGGAGTGTGCCACCACACCCAGTTCTCAACTTCTTCTTATCGGGACTCACCTTCTGCTTTGAGTTCAGTATTGATTGTGCACATTAACTTATTTCAACAGTAGCTATTGTTTGACACCTTCTTTTTGTTATTCCTTCATTTTGATATAATCTCTTCAAAACTGTTTCCTAATGGCCATCATTTTTCCTCCCGAAGTTTCCTTCAGACCTAGCCATATCAGTTTGATTTTTCACCTTTGTTTTATAATCTACTTGTCACCTTTTTGACTATTTAGAAAATTTTGTGTGTTTGTATTACATGTATGTGTGTGTGTGTATGTATGTATGTATGTATGTATGTATAAGTATGCCATTTGTTTAGTTGCCCGAAGAGGTCAGAAGAGGAAGTTGGATCCCCTAGACCTGGAGTTGTGATGGTGGTTGTAAGCCTCTCAGTGTGGGTGCTGGGAACTGAACTTGGGTCCTCTGAAGGACTATGTGTTCTTCGTGACTGAGCAATCTCTCTAGCCCCTATGTTAAATTTAGATAAAACCAGCACACACCTTTAATCCCAGCACTTGGGAGACAGAGACAGTTGGATCAGAGTTTGAGGCCACCCTGGTCTACAGAATGAATTTCAGGACAGTCAGGGATGCACAGAGAAACCTGGTCTTGAAAAATCAAAAACAAAACAAACAAAATAGATAAAATAAAACCTCCTGTCTCGTTTTGCTTTTGTGCCATTAGCTCATTGGTCTCATCACCCCCTCCCCTTTTTTCATTTTTTGAGAATTGTCAACCTTATATATTCATAGATGTATACAGATTTTTTTGTTTGTTTGCTTTTGTTTTAGTTCATGAACAACTTTTTGTTTTGTTTTGTTTGTTTGTTTGTTTGCCAGGCATGGTGGTGCATAATTTTAATGCCAACATTAGGAGGCAAAGGTAGGCTGAACTCTGGTCTATACATAGCAAGTTCCAGGCTGGCTGTGGCTACATAGTGAGACCTTGTCTCAACAACAAATAACCATTTTTTTCCCCTTCAAATTCTTTTCTCTTCAAGTAGGAACTGAGTGATACTTGTATTTTCTTTTATTTCAGATGATGATGTTAGGACAGAAAATGGAACGCTGGCTCCAAAGCAGGAGATTGCTTCTGCTGTGGAATCTCAGGAAGTTCCTGGCACTCTTAATATAGGTGTTCCTCAGATTTTTAAATATGGAGAAACCTGTTTACCCAAGGGCAGATTTGAAAGAAAGAGAAATCCCTCTCGAAAGAAACAGCACATATGTGACGAATGTGGGAAGCACTTCAGCCAGGGCTCAGCTCTTATTCTTCACCAGAGAATCCACAGCGGGGAGAAGCCCTACGGGTGTGTCGAGTGCGGAAAAGCCTTCAGCAGAAGCTCCATCCTTGTGCAGCACCAGCGAGTCCACACCGGTGAAAAACCTTACAAGTGTCTTGAGTGTGGGAAAGCCTTCAGCCAGAATTCTGGGCTTATTAATCATCAGCGAATCCACACTGGGGAGAAACCTTATGAATGTGTTCAGTGTGGAAAGTCCTATAGTCAAAGCTCAAACCTTTTTAGACATCAGAGACGCCACAATGCAGAAAAACTTTTGAATGTTGTGAAAGTTTAAGAAATTAGGGGGAAACAATGAGCACTCAGGTCTTTCTCTTCAGAAATGAAGACAATTAAAAACATGAAGTGATAAAGAAAAGTTTTTTTCCCTGTTGATTGAGAAAATCCACTGGGAGATACAAAAAAAATTCATTCACCATTTTTATCTCGAAAGAAATGGTGTTATGCCTAGAAACTGAAATTTTAAATAATTCAGGTATTAATACCTAAAATTTCCATGTGATATTTATATTCCCTTTTCTCCCAAGTAATGAGCTACCTGATTCTTTGTCCCTTTCTTAACAATTTCCTTTTTCAGACAAAGAGTTTATTTCTGTGTTGGTCATTGGAATGTTGTTTTATAAGGATACATACCTTTCTATTTTAAAAGGCAACATAGGAATTGTAAAATCTAAAAGCCCATCATTTAAAAACATCCTTGAACATTTAGTTTCCTTTTGTTCAGTTCGAGTATATTTGGGGAAAACAGAAGATAAAGGCTAGTCAAAGCCTCAGTGTTAAATGAGCCTTAAGATCTCAGGTGAGGGATGGTGGCAGAATTTTACAGAGTGAAGGGAGAAACTGGAAAAGTTACACACTGAGGTGTATCAGTTACATACAGTCATCTTTCCTTAGGAAAACTTCAACAAAAAACCAAACAAAAAACTGATTTTATCTAAGTTGTGGGCATCTTACTAATGAGGAGCGTTTTCCTATGTAAACTCTTGTAGGCACTTGCAAAGTGAAGGTAAATGTAACACTAAGGAAGAATGCTGGTGTTGAAAGGCAGATGTAAAATTAAGGCACTTAGATGATGTGGCTTTTAGAAAAAACTCAAATCTAACTCATTTTGCTCTCATCCTAGTTAAGGATGTAGAAAACTCCTTGATGGGAGGGCAACAATATCAGGTTTGCTCTTTTTATTCCTTTGGTACAAAAGGGTTGAACACCAGGCTAAAACAGCCATGCATTTGTTACTAAACATTTTACCGACAATGCACTGTGCTAGGTACTGTAATCCTACTGTAAGTAGGTAGGTATTTGTTCCACTGTAAGTCATAAGGGGTTTCCCCATCAGCATTCCCAGGTCACCTCTGAGATTCCCAGAGTTGTAGTTCTCTTAGCAGCATGTTGTGTTTGGAGGGAGAGATGTCAGCTCAGAAAGCTAGCTAGTTAGCTCTTCGCACTTTTCAGAGGTGAGCTCAAGATACCCTCTATTAGTTTAAACAGTTTTGAATCTTAAAAATCCAAATGTAATTTCTAGTAGTATTGTAGTTATAACTACATGTTAAGTTGAATGGACCGTTCTACTTTAAAAACAAATAACTAGACTATGAATAACTAGTTTTATTAACTAGCAGAATTGATTGAATTTTTTAATTTACAGTCTTAACACATTTTTAAAAAAAAAAAATATTAAAAGTTTAGTAGTAGGATTCTGTATGCCCTGGCTAAGAATCCAGGCACTGTGGTTCTGCTGTTTAGTGGCAAACTCTGGAAGTTAAAGCATTGAATATATGAAAATATGGGTTTTTTATTTGTTTGTTTGTTTGTTTGTTTAACGTAAGACAGGCATCATTACATGGAAAATGATCCATGGGAGTACAAATATTTCCAGCAATTTGGGTTATATCTGGTACTTGGTCGAATTTTAAACTGAAAAGTAAGATTTTTGTGTGAGTCTATTGAGAACAGTTCTAAATGCAATGCAGCTGGTGAAATGAGGCAGAATGAAGCTTGTTCATAGATTTCTGATAACAATTCTAAGAAACGTGCTTTATAGATTAAGATTTATTGAAGTATAAATATGTAGTAATGCTATAATGTATTTTTAAGTTCTACAAGAAAATGTAGGGACTTTTGTTTGGGTCTTTCCTCTGCGGCTGAGAGGAAACAGGTTAATGTCCAATAAAGCTGTAACCGCCTCTGCTCTAAGGTAGCGTGACCTGGAATCGCGTTACTTACCTGTTTATGGCTGGTTCCTTCTCAGTAGGTTCTTGAGGTGGCACATTTGATGACTGCTGGGATGACAGGGTAGGTAATAGGGGAGTCACCTGTCAGGTGGAAGGCCAGACTTACCAATTTTAGGGGTAGATTTGGTAGTGTGAAAGCACAGAAGAGGTGGTATTAGAGTTGGCAAATAGATGTTGTCGTGCCGGCTCTGACCCCTGTGTATCTCTTGGGAAGGAAGCTCAGACAAGGGACTGGTCTAAAACCCCTCATGGTATACAGGAAAAGGAAAGCAGTGGGTGTGTATTTAACTGACTCTGCCTAGGCATCAGTCTACACTAGACTGATTAATTTACAGTAACAGTGATTGTTGTCTGCAGAACTGTCCCCACACAGATCATCATAATTTGGGGGTACCCAGTCTAATGAAGTAGACGTGAGCATGTGGCAAGCAGTAGCCTAGCCAACACCTTTCTGGTTAGCATGTGAGCACTCGTGTGAAGGCATGCACACTAATGGGCCCAACAGGCTGTCTGCTGATTTTATAGTCACAGATGTTTGACCATTAGCAGCCTGTCTTAGATGCGTGTGAGCTTCGGGGAGGGTGCCTGTTCTGAGAGAATGTGCATGCTAAACATGCTTGGAATACTTAATCATCTAGATTTGTGGACTAGGAAAACAGGACCCAACAGTCTTGGAACTTGTGACTTGGAAATGGCCACTTAGAACTGAAACACAAACCTAGTTCTGTGGATTCCACAGGTCGGTTTGTTTGTTTGTTTGTTTGCTTCTGTCAAGAGTGATGGTGTTAGCCAGGCGGTGGTGGCACACACCTTTAATTCCAGCACTCCAGAGGCAGAGGTAGGTGGATGTTTGTGAGTTCAAGGCCAACCTGGTCTACAGAGTGAGTTCCAGGACAGCGAGAACTAGGACTGCACAGAGAAACCTGCCTCAAAAACCAAATTAAAAAAAAACCTGAAAGTTATATGTACCAATTTAAATTTTCCACAATACAGAACAAAAGATGAAAAAAGACATCAGATTTAGCCAGAAATGGTGGTAATCTGGTTTATTGCCCTTCCAAATTTAGCTCTATACACGTTTAAGCAAACACCTTTAAAATAGCAGTCTTGGATTGAGTACAGGCACCGACTAAAGTGCCTTACTCTGCTTTAATCCTCAGCAGACCTGAGGTAGTTACATAGCTCCATCTACTGTAGAGAGACTGACTTTCCCTCCCGTACTGCTGTGGACATTTTCCATAGTTACAGTATTCCTTTGCGTTACTACACTTGCAGTCCTTCTAACCCACCTGCTACTGATGGGTTTGTAGGTTCTTTATGCATAACAGATAACAGTTGCTACCCATAAACAGATTCTACTACCTATGTAGTTGTCCCTATAACACAAATAACTAGAAATGGATTCATTGGGTCAGGGAATACATATTTGACATTTTTGAGGAAATAACAACTTTAAAAGTTGGACTAATAACTCCATTAATAGTAAGAATGCCTATTTGCCTGCACTCCTGATAGTACTGCAGCCTGAAAAAGTTTTGCTCATCTTACAGACCAGGTCTTTTTTCATTTTCTTTTTCTTTGTGTGTGGTGTGTGTGTGTGTGTGTGTGTGTGTGTGTGTATGTATGTGTGTGTGTGCACGCCTGCATGTGCACCTTTATTAGTAAGAAGGAACTTTTTTTTGTTGTTGTTCATTGGCTGTTTCATGTCCTGTTCTGGTCTTGTTCTTTTCTTTCTTTGTTCTAATTATGGAAGTATAAATGACTAAGTTAACATCTTATAAAACTTAAGACAGACAAATATAAGACCATTTTCCCCAGGTCAGTTCCATTTTCCAGTTTACATCCTGGTACAATTTGTACACATTTCCACATGAATATACAGAAATGTGGACACCTTTTAAATAAACGGAATTATTATGAATTTTAAGACATCTTTGTCTTATATATTCCGTCTTCAAACTCCTGGAAGGTGGATGGCTGGCTGTAAGGCATTTGCTGCCTGACCCTCTCCTCCATCTTCTGACAGATAGCTGTAGCATCTTCACCTCTGTAGAGTACTCATTGCCCACAGAGCTACCTTACCCACACTGGACAGCCCATATCTGTTTGGGAAAAGGAGAGAGAAGGAGAAACCTTCCTATTTGCATTTCCCTAATGAATAGTGAAGTCGGTCATTTATAATTTCCTGAGGATTGTTCATTCATGCTTCTATTGCCTTTGTACTGGGTTATGTGGGTATCTGTGTTTGTTCAGCATCTCTTCCCTCATTTACGGCAACAGTATCCCTATTTATTGTGGTTAACCCATTCCATATGGCTTTGGTGAGCACATGACCAGGCTTGTCTCCTGAGCCACACTAGCCACAGTGATTAGAAAGTGGGCATCGATCTGAAGCAGGCTAAGGAGAGTGCTCAAGAGAACAGCAACTCCTGGAAAGAAGGCTTTGGAGACACTGGAGACCCAAGGATGATGGGAGCCTGCATTTTTCCTATGTGGAGAAAGTCTCTGAGGAGAAACTCAGAGGCTAGCAGAGATGGTGAAAAACTAAGTTTTGATGTCATTTTTCTGGAGGCCCTAGATCCAGTTGTGCCTAAAGCCTACCCTACCTCTGGACTTTAAAGTTTGTGAGCCAATAAAGTCCCTTTCTTGTTAAAGATAATTGTATTTGTCCTGATTAATATAGGGTATTTGTATTTTCTTGTTGATTTGTATAAACTTGTAGTTTTAATTCTAGATTCACACATTATATAAGTTAATAAAATTCGCAATGGCCTTTTATAATTTGGACTCCTTCAACCTCTGCCATGTGTTACTTTACCCTCCCCTCTCCCCAATTCACACACCATTCCCATACTTGACATTCTAACAGTGACTTAATGCTGGCTTTCATTAAGTCTGAACAACTTTTCATACATTGTCTCCAACAGATTGATTTGGGTCCAGGTATGTTAAACTGCTGGATCTGTTAGTTCGGTATCTATTGTTGTGATAGACACCATGGCCGAAAGCAGCTTGGGGAGGAAGTTTGCTTCATCTTACAACTGTCAGGTTGCTTGAGTTCCTGCCCGGACTTGACTTCTGTCTCTGAGTTCAGCCAGGGCAGGGACTCCAGACAGAAACTTGAAGAACTGGTGTAGAGGCCATGGAGGAATGCTGGTGGCTTGTGCCTCATAGCGTCTTGAACCCAGGCCACCAGCCTCGGGGTGACAAACCTGAAGTGAACTGGGCCCTCCCCCACCAGTCATCAGTCCAGAAAACGCACCACACGCTCCATGGGCTAGCCTGGTAGGGGCACCTTTTCAGCTGAGAGCCCCTCGTCTGAAAGGACCAGCTTGTGTCACGTGGACGGCCAGCACACTGCTTTACCCAGTAAACATTGCTCAAGGCACTGCCTCCACACTTTTCCTGCCCGTGGTCCTTAGAGCCCTTCACAATTATCTTAACCCAGCATGGGTTTTTGGGAGAGGGGCACTTTATTTTAGGTCCATTGTCTTGAAGCTCTGTGAGCCCAATACCTAGTATGACAGAAAGAATCTTATGCAAGTTTATAGGACATTTTCTTGATGTGGAAGGGCCTGGCTCATTGTGGGTGACGTCACCCCTCATCAGGTGGATGATGTAAGAATGTGGGCTGAGCAAGCACGGAGCACCAGTAAGCACTCCTCCATGGTCTCTGCAGCAGTTCTGCCTCGGGGTTCCTGCCCAATTTGAGTTCTTCCCATGATGAACTATGATGTGAAAGTCTAAATGGAGTAGACTGTTTATTCCCAAGTTGCTTTTGGTCATGGTGTTTTATCACAGCAATTGAAACCCTAAGGTACATGTGTGTGTGTGTGTGTGTGTGTTTTACACACTGTATGTGGTGGTTTGAAAGAAAAGGCCGCCTTAGAGAGTGGCACTATTAGAATGTGTGGCCTTGGAAGAAGTGTGTCACTGTGGGGGTGGGTTTTGAGGGCTCCAATGCTCAAGCTATACCCAAATGCAACAGTTCAGTCCACTTCCTGTTGCCTGTGGATCAAGTTACAGAACTCTTAGCTCTTTCTTCAGCACCATGCCTGCCTACATGCTGCCATGTCCTGCCATGATAATGGACTAAGCTTCTGAAACTGTAAGCCACTCCAATTAAATATTTTCCTATTTTCCTTTATAAGAGTTGCAGTGGTCATGGTGTCTCTTCAGAGCAATAGAAATTCTAAGACTATATATATGGCTTCATGTAGATGAAGTCTATTGTGCTAGGATACTGCTTGTGGACTCAAGTTTGGGGTAGTTTTTATTTTTACATATTTTCTACTGTATACCCTCCATAAGATAATACATAAAGATGTGGTGCTGGTGGATGCCTTTAATCCAGCAGATCTTTTGAGTTTCAAGCCAGCTTGCTCTGCATAGACCCTGTTTCAAACAACAAAAGCCCTCAGACTATAAAGAAGTGTTTAAGAATTAAACTGAAGGGGCTGGAGAGATGGCTCAGTGGTTAAGAGCATTGCCTGCTCTTCCAGAGGTCCTGAGTTCAATTCCCAGCAACCACATGGTGGCTCACAACCATCTGTAATGAGATCTGGCGCCCTCTTCTGGCATGCGGGCATACATGGAGGCAGAATGTTGTATACATCATAAATTAATGAATAAATAAATCTTTAAAAAAAGAATTAAACTGAATGGCCTTTGTTTTCCACTCTAGTTCTCGCCATCATGATTTCCTTTGCCTGGAACCTCCCATAGGCTCTCAGTGCATTCAGAAGTGAAACCTTGAACCCCTTTGCACATCCTCCAGAATGTGAATCACTGCCTTGTCTAGGATGTCAGTTTTCCATGTATTATTTTCCCCATTAGTCACTGGTAGCCATCTGGGCCGTCAGATTCCGTCTCCATACTCTCATTGCTTATGTTCAAGTAACCCTTACTTCGCTGAACAATGGCCCCAGGATGAAGTGGTGCTGGCAATTAGAGAAGTTGAAGAGAAGACAGTTTTGTCAGCCGTGAGTGAAAAAGTGGAAGTTTTCATTCAAGAGAAGAACATGTGACTGTCTACAGTAAGAATGGATCTTCTGTGAAGTTGTGAAGGGAAATTTTATTATTATTCTAACATCTCAAAATGCAAGTTGTAGACACAGTACACAGTGAGTGCTTAAAGAAGGAAATGGTGTTAAGAATGCAGTACTGTCCACGTGATACAGAGGGTCCAAATCTTCCTAAGTGCACAGCAACCACAGCGAGGGACTACACACACTCCAGCTCTGCAGCTGGTTGGTACCAGCTGATGCTGCCATTCTTCGGTTGCTTCAGTTGTCTCCATATCCACAAAGGGCCCTTCTGCTCACAACCGAAAGTTGCATAAAGTCTGCGGTTCATCAGCAGGACACTGCAAATACACGTGCCTCTATTCCTTTTGCCTGTATAATCTGCCCCCTCGTTCTATCTTGTCAGCCCATGCATTGCTGCAGCACCAGTACCAATAGCATCTCTTCTGGATGGTTTTGCATATTTATGATTTCGGGGTAGCATACACTGGCTGGTTTCCTTAGAACTGTTACCACTGGGAATGGCTGGTAACCAGTGCTGGGACCAATTAGCTCCATCTCTTGGAAAAATTGCAAGAACTTATGGTAGCTGATGGTTCTGGCTGGAAGAGGAGCAGCAAAGACACTTACACTAGGTAGGATTTGAGTCACTGGCACACAAAGTTTGGAGCTGTTAGTTAGGACCTGAGAACCTCTATCACTAACACAAGGAGGGGGTGAACTTTGCCTATTCACAGTCTGTCTGGACTTAGCAAGACTGCCAGCTGACTGGCGAAGTTCTATGCCTTGAGACACAGCCCCCATGGATATCATGGAACTACAGTATTTGCAGGACCACAATACCACAGCTCCATTTTGTTCAATACTGGTCTGCATTACTGAAAATTAAACTAACATTGTTGTGTGCATCATAGGGACTCATGCTTACTAGGAAGCCAGAACTAGACCACTGCCGACAAATCACTGAGACAAAGTGGCATGGGGTTACACAGTGAATTTATAGATACTCAGCTTGTGCATAGGACCCAACTCTCCATCTCTAGGGGATATGTATGACGTCAGTGTTAATACCACTTTAATTACAGGATTTAAGGTTTCCCTGCATTCTCTGAAATAACTTCTGATACGCAGTCGGTAATTTAGACTCAATAAAGGTTTGAGCTTCTAAGATGAATATATATTCCTCATAAATTTGATTGAGACTTTCCATATTTATTTTTAAATATAGTAAGTTCTGCATAAAAGTCTTATATTTTATAATGATATCTCTGTGAATTGTGTCAATAAGAGATTTTTTTAGATTATAGTAAAGGTAATAATTTCTATTTTTCCTATTCATTTTTTAAAAAATTATGAGCAACACAGTTTTCAAACAACTTCCAGAGCGCCTCAGAATTTCCTTAAAATCGTAATTTTGAACTCTAAGTTAAATTGCTATAAAATTCATTTTCTAGTATTTTTAAAATGGAGCATGGGTGGACATCGATTAAAACCCTTTTCACGGTCATTATAGCCTTGGTAAGATTTTTGTTCTACTGTCGTATCAGAATCTGTGCACCACAGACTTACCCATAGCTATCACATTCATGCAATTCTTCCTCCTCAGAAAGAATCTTGTTATTCCTTCCTCCCTTCTTTTCCTTCCTCCCTCCCTCCCTCCCTCCTTCCCTTCCTTCCTGTTTCTTCTTTTTTCCTCTGTGTACCCTTTGCTGTCCTGGAGTTTGATGTGTAGACCTGCCTGCCTTTGCCTCCTGAGTGCTGAAATTAAAGGCGTGTGCTATCACCACCTGGCTAGAATGGGTTTTCTTAAAGTTACCACGATCAGGTTTGTTAAAATGTCTACTACCCAGAAGCTAGGGTAGAGATTCTCTTCTATGTGCATCCTTTGATATTCAGTGAGACTGGTCACAGTACCGAAAGGTTTCCTGTAAACGGATGCTTCCTGTCCCAACTGCTGGGTCCCAAATAACTAACTCAGAGGCTGAATATGAATTATAAATGCTTGACCGATAGCTCAGGTTTGTTACTAACTCTTACACTTAAATTAACCCATTACTACTAAACTATTACCTATCCTCTAGCATGTCTTGCTACCAAGGCAGCTAGGACGTCTGCCTGACTCCACCCCGTTCTTCCCATTATTCTCAGTTTGGTTTGCCGCCTAACTTCCTGTCTGGCTACCGGCCTGTCAGCTTTTCATTAGCCAGTGAGAGTACACATACTCACAGTGTACAGAAGGACTGTTCCCAGCAGTTTCACACAGATATCATATTTGCAGTTTTTCCCCAATGTGTATTCTCTGGTGATTAAAGAGATCAGTGCGCCTACTAAAGCTTCTACCGCATTGAGCACATGGGTACGGTTTCTCTGCCGTGTGGATTCTCTGGTGAAGGGTAAGGGCTGAGCACTGACTGAACGCCTTCCCACACACATTACAACTGTACGGCTTCTCCCCAGTGTGGATTCTCTGGTGTTTGATACGGTCTGAATTCTGACTGAAACTTCGGGTGCACAGCGAGCACGCATAGGGTTTTTCTCCTGTGTGGGTTCTACGGTGAAGGATGAGGTCAGAACTCTGACTAAAGGCTTTGCTGCAACTATCACAGCGGTAGGGCTTTTCACCAGAATGCATTCTCTGATGTTTAGTGAGGTCTGAACTTTGACTGAAGCTTTTATTGCACAGATCACATGTATATGGTCTCTCGCCAGTATGTATTCTTTGATGCTTTATGAGATCTGAACGGCGACTGAAACTCTTGGCACAGGCACTGCAGGGATAGGGTTTTTCCCCGGTGTGGATTCTCTGGTGGAGAATAAGGTTGGAGCTCTGACTGAAAGCCTTCCCACACTCACATTCATAGGGCTTCTCCCCAGTGTGGACTCTATAATGTTTAACAAGATCCGACCTCCTACTGAACATTTTACTGCACTGACCACACGGGTACGGCTTCTCTCCAGTGTGAATTCGCTGATGGTTAATAAGATCTGAAAGCCTACTGAAGGTTTTGGTACACTGGTTACATAGGTAGGGTTTCTCTCCGGTATGAATTCTTTGATGCAGAATGAGGACTGCACTCTGATTAAACGCCTTTCCACATTCGTTACATTTATATGGCTTCTCTCCAGTGTGAATCCTTCTGTGTTTAATAAGGTCTGAATTCTGACTGAAACTTTTGCTACACTGATTACACGGATATGGTTTCTCCCCAGTGTGGATTCGCTGATGGAGAATAAGATCGGAGCTCTGACTAAAGGCTTTCGCACAAGCATCACACTTATATGGTTTCTCCCCAGTGTGGATTCGCTGATGCTTTATAAGATCAGAACTCTGGCTGAAATGTTTATTACACTGGCTACACATATAAGGCTTCTCTCCAGTGTGGATCCTCTGATGTTTCACCATGTCTGAGCGCTGGCTAAAGCTTTTATTACAATGACTGCACGGGTAGGGCTTTTCTCCTGTGTGGATTCTCCGGTGTATAATGAGATCTGAGCTCTGGCTGAAGGCCTTCCCACACTCGGGACATTTGTAAGGCTTTTCACCAGTGTGAACTCTTTGATGTTTAATAAGGTCTGAGCTCCGACTAAAGCTTTTAATACACCAATTGCACAGATAGGGTTTCTCTCCAGTATGAATTCTCTGATGCAGAGCCAGGGCTGAGCGCATACGAAAGGCCTTTCCACATTCATCACATTCATAAGGTCTGTCCCAGTGAGTTCTTTGGTGTCTAATAAGACCTGTGTTCCAAGCAAAGTGCTGGCCACATTCATCACAGGTATACTGTGTTCTTCTTAAGAGGGGTTGATCATTCAATTCACCCCCCAGTTCACAGAATTCTTTGCCTCTGGAATTCTGGAGAACATCCTCCTGGAGGCTGCCTGGTTCTTCAGCCAACGTTTCAATGTTTCCTGTCATTTCCTTCTCTGAAGCTGGCTCTCCAATCTTGATCTTGGTCTCACCATCTGGAACAGTAAACAAAATTCCAATGGAAAATGTGCTCCATGTTGCAAATAAGTTCCAGATGAAGCAAATCAGTATTTATCTATAGATGTTACCAGGAGAGGGAAGGACATGGTCCAAGGTGATCCTTGCAGTTAAGGTGAGGACTGCAAATGATCAGAGAGGCTTCCGACACTGAAAAGGACTGAGGAGACCCGGAAAGACCAATAAGTAATGGATCACATTTTGTAGAATGAACTTATCAGATACAAAAGTATGATTTTCACAGATGACCTGGGAAAACTGAAATTGATTCTCTATGACAATAAAAGTGTGATTAGGTTAGAGCTAATAACTTGCTAATATACTTAAAGCAAGCAGTATAAAAAGTGTAGAAAACAGAAGTGGGTTGGGTTTTACCTAGCATGCTCAGGTATTTGGGTTAAAAGTAAGGTACTAAAGAAAAATAATGAGAGAAAATAAAAACTCTCCAATTCCCTTAAGAAATAGTAAAAAAAATGCTATTACACACAGAAATGCACTGTATTCTAAACACTTTCTACAAAAAGTCACAAGCAGGATCAATTCAAGACAGGAGTTTAAGATTGAATTTTCATAAAACAACATCTATTGAAAAATAACTCCAGTACTTTTTATTATGATCTCCAGCTGGAACTACATTTGGCATCACAAACAAAAGGGCCAGAGAAGTAAGATGGTTGAGTTGTTTCTACTTTTTCAATCTGCATGCCTTAATGAGAGTAACAAGAAATCAATTTTGATGTAAAGACTGATTTCATTTTTTAATTGTGTGTGCCAGTACACTTAAAAATTACGTATGTTTTGTGTGGTTCTTGATGCCATGTGTAGCATGAATAATAAAAACCCAGTGACAGATACTGGGGTTCAACATGAAGATCAGAAAAGCGAAACATCCAACCACTACAGCGACCTTTTACCTCTACCAAATCTTCAGTCCACAACGGCGGGATTCTGTCTCCATGAATCCCTAGATTCCACACCACTGAGTTCTCATCCTTTCCCTTTATATTCCTCTCTCTGCCCAGCCATATAACTCCTGTCTCCAGCTCCCTAGTGCTGGGATTAAAGGATAAATTGTGGAAGGTAGCTGGTTCTCTCCTTCTATCATGTGGGTCCTGGGGCTCACACTTAGCTGGCAGGCTGGGTGCTAAGTGTTTTCACCCCCTGAGTCATCTCACTGCCCCCTAAAATGACTAAATAAATTACAGGTTTGCTATTTTTGTTTTTGTTTGAGATACGCTGTAGCCCAGGTTGGCCTGCAACTCATGGTAATCCTCCTGTCTCAACTCTTGAGTGCTGAGAAGACAGATACTGGCTACTGCACCTGGCTCTACCCCCACCTACTTTATTTTTGTTTGTAGTGTAGCCTTTGAATGGCTTTGAAGTCACTTTGTATCTCAAGATGGCTTTGGACTCAGGGTAATCCACCTGCCTCTGGCTCACCAGTGCTGGGATTACAGGTGCATGCTACCATACCTAGCTGGGTTGCTACTTTTGTGGTGTAGGAGGTTCTTCTGTTCACGTGTTGCTTTCATTGACTAATGAATAAAGAAACTGCTTTGGGCCTGATAGGGCAGAACTTAGGTAGGCGGAGAAGACAGAACTGAATGCTGGGAAGAAGGGCAGAGTGGGGGACACCATGGATCTTCTGCCTGAGATGGACGCTGGTTAGAATCTTGCCTGTAAGCCATGGCACGTGGCAATACACAGAATAATGGAGATGGGTTAAACTGATATGTAAGAGTTAGCCCATAAGAAGTTAGAGCTAATTGCCAAGCAGTGTTTTAATTAATACAGTTTCTGTGTGGTTATTTCTGGTGTAAGCTAGCCAGGTGGCCAGGACAAACAAAGGGCCTGCCCCCTCTCTTCACAACACTTTTGAGTGAAACTTGACTTTATTCCAAAAACAACTACGGCAGTAGAGGTCATGGTCAAGGACGCTACCTGGGAGATCTGTAAGAGGACTACAGTGGCTCAGCGCCACATATGCTTCTACCAATAGGAGTTTTCTAAGTGAGAAGCAAATCCCAGTTGCTATTTATAGGCACCAATGGAGACTTCTTGATTACAAAACACTAAATGACTACACATCACAAACTTCTTATTATGTACTAGATGATTCCAGAACAGGTTTCCAGATGGGTCTGAAAACTTCCACTCATCCTCCCACGCGGGATGATCTCAGACACAGGTCAAAGCAAATTCTCCCACAGACAGAACTGTAGAAATAAAACTAATGTCTGTCTACTATTTATGAAAGGAAATAGTCTAGGATATAAGCCTAGATTGATTCATGGCTAATGAGAAATCACTTATCAAATACATGGAAAGAACAAGATTGGAATGCTAGAAAGAAAGACGAACCTGGGAGAAACATTGGGATAGACCTTCCTGAATGGGCTCAGTATGCACATATATTGTGTTCTTTGTACATTTTCAGCAAAAGGTATCCAACAAAGAAGCCTCTCAACCTGAAAGACAAGAACACCCACAGCACTATGTCAATCAGCCTCTGTTCCGGCTGGCATGGTTGACTGATGTACAGAATGGTCACAGGAGCAAGGATGACAGCTGCATATAGCTACAAACATATGGATCTCCTCTCTCCAAGGAGGCATGCCTATTATCAATTCTATATGCCTGAATATTCAGCAACCAGAGTGAGCAGTGCACACCAACTAAAGGAACACTTCCTGGAGAGTGATCAGTCAGGGTCCTGGAGGCAGATTCGTTGCACAGTATCAGTTTTGTCATGAAATTTGTTTTCAAAGGATAAATTCACACTGCAGATACAAAGCTGTATTTATTTGTGGCAATTCTGTTTGTTATCATGCTAGCCTATATAATACAACCTCCCAAAAAGTAATCTTCTAAGAAAGGAAGGAGAGCAGTAACCTCAAATACATGGAGCTCATGGGTCTTATGTATGTTCCACTGAGAAGAATGCAGACTTGGGATTTGATGGAATGTTCTAAAGGCTACACTAGGAAAGTTGTCATAGAGGACATACTATGTGCCCTATGCCAAAGAACAAAAAAAAAAAAAAGCTCTCTATTTTTTTTAATGGTCAAAACACATATGCATTGCAGGAACCGAGAGTTGGAGGGGCTGTTTTAGTCAGGGTTACTACTGCTGTGATGAAACACCATGACCAAAAGCATATAAAAAACAGCAAGGGAGCTGAAGACGAGAATTCACCCTTCTCTGCTTCTGGGTGGCACACTGATGTGACCAATGCCTCGGGTTCCTGTTGGTGAGATTTCCACCATAGTGGGCTGCAGTGCTGAGCTGTGAGCTGGGGTAAGTCCATTCTCCCTTAAGTCGCCTTTGTCAGGGTACTGTGTCACAGCCATGGGAAAAACGAACTACTGTATTTATTCCATTACACTAGCATCCGCTTGTCTTAGCTAGGGTTACCTTGGCTTTGAGGAAACACCATAACCAAAGCAACTCGAGGAGGAAAGGGTTTATTCCACTCGCAGTTCTATAAAACAGCCATCATCAAAAGTCGTGAGGGCAGGACCCCCGAGGCAGGAGCTGATGCAGAGGCTCTGGGGGGAGGTGGAGTGCTGTGTCCTGGCCGGCCCCACTCCACTCTTGCTGCTCCTCTTGGTGGTTATCCATGGTACTGGGGTCTTTTGCTGCAACTGGGCTGTGCACTCACCAACAGCCTCTCAGGCTCTCTTTGTGAAGCCTCAACTTCTCTGCATGACCCCTTCAATTCCGAGCCTTCAACTGACACTGAGGTGTGCACCTGTGCCAGCGGCCTCTCCTGACCTCTCCTGACCTCTCCCAGTGCCAGGCCTCAGCTGATCTTCATGCCTTCAAAACCAGAGCCTCCTGGGTGACTCTGACATCCCCAAGTCCGGCCGCCAGCACAAGGCACAGCTTTGACTGCTTCTGAAACACAGCCTCTGTGTGCTGACCCTGAGGAAACACTTTCCAGAAGATTTCATCTCAATGATGCTGGTCTTTTCTTAATCACCATCAATTTCTTAGCTCCAGCCAACGGACATCAACTGTCCCAGCAAAGCAAAGGTTTCTGTGGTAGTGTGAATGTAATTGGCCTCATAAGCTCCTAGGGAGGGGCACTATTGGGAGGTGTGGCTTTGTTGGAACAGGTGTGACCTTGTTGGAGAAAGTGTGTCACTGTGGGGGCAGGCTTTGCGGTTTAGTATGCTCAAGATACCACCCACTGTTGGAGACCAGTTCCAGTTGCCTGCTGATCAAGATGTAGAGCTCTCAGCTCCAGAACCATGTCTGCCTGCATACTGCCATACTCCCCGCCATGATGATAATGGACTGAACCTCTGACTTGTAAGTCAGCCATCAAAATCAAATGTTTCCTTTATAAGAATTGCCATGGTCATGGTGTCTCTTCACAGCAATAGAAATCCTAAAGATGGGGTTGGAGAGATGGCTCTGAGGTTAAGAGCACTGGCTACTCTTCCAGAGGTCCTGAGTTCAATTCCCAGAAACCACATGGTAGCTCACAACCACCTGTAATAAGATCTTTTGTCCTCTTCTGGCAAGCAGGCATATATGCAGAGGCAGAATACTATATGTATAATAAATAAATAATTTTTTTTAAAAAAAATAAAAGGAAGAAAGAAACCCTAATGACAGGTTCACTTCAGGGGTGCCAGTCTCTGACTAACATGGCTGACTCCTTCTCTCTCTTGGTTTTCTAAAACAGGACTTCTTTGTGTAACAGCTCTGGGTTTCCTGAAACTCGCCTGTTAGACCAGGCTGGCTTCAGACTCATAGATACCACCTGCCTTTGCCTCCTGAGGGGATTAAGGGCCTGCACCACTGCCATCCAGCTTTATGGCCGACTCTTCAGTCCCAGTTGCTCAGAATGACAGAATCTTAATTCAAACTAGCAAATGGCCACGACAGAGTCCCTAAACTTCCCCATGAAACTACACAAGCCAGGCCTCCATCTGCCCTCAACATTCTTATCTTCCAAGACCCTACAAAATAGCTCACCAAGCACTGAACACTGAATGGCTTTTCTTTACACAACCCTCCCCAAAACATGGTGAGGGCTGTCACAGCAATACCCCACTATTCTGAACACAAGTACCCTGCGTGAGTGGACAATGTTTCCCCAAGAAGACATGCGTTAGGAAATGAAAAGTCCTCCTGAATTAGTGTCAGGCCCTAAAACCTGCCGTTGCTCCTGGCTGCCCACCAGAACCCAATGGTAAGACTCTATTAAACACAACACATTCTGGTTGCAGAACATAGAGAAATCAAGCTGGAGCTGACCTGAAAATATTCTCCCTGCAGGCCAGATTTCACAGGGCATGGAAGTGCTGTGGGCCACTGGCAGAGAAAACCCATCAATGCCCGCTGCAACACTGCAGGCTATAGTTCTGACGGTAGTAGTTGGAATGAGAATGGCTCCTACAGGCACATATATCTGAATGCTTGGTCCCCCATTGGTGGAATTGTCTGAGAATGATTAGGAGGTATGGCTTTTTGGAGAATGTATGTCACTTGGGAGAATGTATGCCCACACCATTCCCAGTTAGCTCTCTCCGCCTGCCTGCTGCCATACTCTGGCATGATGGTCATGGACATCTACTCTCTGAAACTGTAAGTAAGCCCCCAACAAACTCTTCTCTATATTGCCTTGTTCACGTCACCTTAGCACAGCAATAGGAAATTAAGACCCTGACCAGCAGGCCAGATGTGTCTACATGTACAATAATGGCACAAAGGTTATGGGGATGTTACTGTTCTAATGCTACTATGGCAACTCTTATAGATGAAAGCATTTAATTGGGGCTTGCTTACAGTTTCAGAGGGTTAGTCCACTATCATCTTGGCAGGTAGCATGGTGGCAGGCAGGAAGACATAGTGCTGGAGAAGTAGCTGAGAGTTCATACATACACGGGGAGCATGAGGAGAGTGACCCTGGCTTAGGCTTCTGAAACATCAGAGCCCACCCCCAGTGACACAGTTTCTCCATCAGGACCATACCTCCTGATCCTTCTCAAGTAGTGCCACTTCCTAGTGACTAAGCATCCCAATATATGAGCCTATCAGGGCCATTCTTAGTCAAACCACCACAGGGAGTAATAACTGCTTTTGGATAGGATTTGAACCTGACCCACAGGAGGTAATTCATTCCCAGCACTGTAAATCTGGTTAAAAGCCACAGATCCTAGAGAAGAACTCACTGCTGGTGTCTCGCTAAATGGAAACGCTATCAAACCGCCTTCCAAATATTTATGTGTATACAGCTAGGTTAGTGCTGCCCTCAACCTTGGCCAGAGAAGCTTCTTCCTCTCTGTAGTGGTCAGCAATCAATGCAGAGACTGAGAGCTGGTCCAAGTACTGAGCACAGGTGACTAGTAAGTGCTAAGTCCTAAATGGGACATCGATTGTAATGGGCCTTCTCCCTAGGCAGGGGACACCCCAGAAGAGAGCGCAGAAAGGCTGAATGAGCTGGAGATGGGGAGGGATTCTGTGGACCGCTAGTTTTTAGGCAGGACACTGAACCCATTGCAGTTAGGATTATCTGCACAAGATCAAGACAGTAAGGTATCTCAACATTCCCACAGGCAGTTTACGGTGGGGGGGGACACACATCAAGGGGGTAGGGTCTCTGAGTAACTGGTAGGGGGAATGAGGGTGAATGTGATCAAAATGCATTGTTTGCATGCAAAGAATTAATAAAAGATCATCTATTTTTTAAAAGAGGAGGCAACTGAATAAAAACTGTATTGCTAGAATTCAAAACAAAGCCGTATGACTCGGCTTGGAGCACCAAAGGCATGGTATGGCTTGCCAGAGAGTAAGGTGTAGACAATGGAGACTCCTGGTACCACAGAAGGAACATGCAATGCACAACTCCTCACCTGACAGAGAGTGACGCTCTTGAGAGTCACAACTGAACTGGATCTCCGTGGGCACAACTGGACACCTCAGGAAACGAGTGGAGAATTACCATTTCTTCTGTAAGATCTTCTTGTCCACACAAGTGTCTGAAGCCTGCAGGCGATGTGGTAGCCCTGAGTTCTGATTGGAACCACTGTACAGAGGAGATGTCATTTCTGAGACTAGGGCTTCTAGATACGGAACAAAGTGAAGGAGAAAAATCTTATTTAGCTTCCATGTGCCTTTCCTCTCGGAGAAGGCTTCCTTTCCGATCGTCCAGGAAGCGGGAATTAACCCTCTTTAATTCAATCCCCCTTACAAGATGAGGTATTTAAACAAGACTGGAAATTAAAAATACTAAACTAGGGGGTGTAACTAGAATAATAGTGCAGGGAGGGGTTTAGTATTCGCGTCCAACACTCACAAGTCAGCTATCTCTTTTCCAGCTCCGCAGGCTGATTACTGGGGGTTCATTCACTTTGTGATTCCTCTAGCACCCCAACATTTCGGACGTGCATGCAGTTGAACAGAAGGCCCAGTGAGCACAGACTAGCTATCCAGAACAGTAGGCCACTCGGTCCCCATGTCCAAGACGCCACTCTGATTCTTCAGTGCTGGAGAGACTGCCTGTCAACTACCCCCACAAGCTCTCCACGTTTCGGATGCTCCCTCGTCCGGCCGTTCTAGGAATCTGGGAGGATCACAACTCTATAGTGCTTCCTCACCCATGCGCAGGGTGAGTTAGGAGTCTGCATTTCAGGAACGCTGCTCCCAGCTTTAGCCAAAGGCTCTGGCTTGTCCTTTGCTGCGGTTTAGTGATTCTTTAGGTCAATGTCAGGATCCATCATCTTTCGTAAAAACTCTATAAACTCAGGTATTTTTCTGACCAGATAATTAACTCTCGTGATCCCTTTCTCTTCTGCATCTGCCTCTGCCCCCGCCCCCCACCTTAATCACTTTCCCAAGTTTATTCCTCATTTCTCCTCCTCCCTCCTCCCTGCCATCCATCCTTACAGGGGATTGAACATGCTAGTTAAACATTCTACTACTGAACTGTATTTCCGGTGGTCTTTTATCCCCACCCCGCCTGTCTTAGTTAGAGTTTCTATTGCTGCAATGAAACACAATGACCAGAAAGCAAGTTGGGGAGGAACGGGTTTAATTGCCTTAAACTTCATATTACTGTTCATTACTGAAGGAAGTCAGGACAGGAACTCAAACAGGGCAGGATCCTGGAGGCAGGAGCTCATGCAGAGGTCTTGGAAGGGTTCTGCTTACTCACTGGCTTGCTGTCCATGGCTTGCTCAACCTGCTTTCTTATAGAACCCAGGACCACCAGCCCAGGGGTCGTTCTTATAGAACCACCCACAATGATTGGGTGCTCCCTCATCAATAACTAATTAAGAAAATGCCCTATAACTGGTCTTATGGAGGCATTTTTATCCATTAAGTTTCCTTTCTTTCAGATAATGCTAGGTTGTTGACATACGCCCCCCTTAGAAGCCAAGGTGCAGGCCTTGGATTTTCAATCCTTGTGCCTGAGCCTATTGTGTTGCTGGGATTTCAGACATGTCACTTCTTATTTTCTCTCTATAAAAATGACATTATTTATTTAGTGTGTATGTGTCTTTGCACATGCTGTAACGTAACATGGAGTTCAGAGGAAAAAATGTGTTACTTGATTGTTTCCTTCCCATTTCGTTGAGTTGCAGGACTGGAACTCAGGTCACCAGCTGTGCCAGCAAGTGCTTTATCCACTGAGGCATCTTGCAGTCCTCTGGTGTGGTGGTGCTGTTTTGAAATAGAGTCTAGCTATACAGCTCTGGCTGACCTGGAACTCCTGGTTGTCTTCCTGTCTTGGGTTCCTGAGTGATGAGATTTTAGGAATGCACTCCCCACCCCCAGTTTTTCATCGTGAAATGACTTTCTTTATTGATATAGCATCATTGTCCAGCCAGAGAAGCACAATATATGTGTGTGTTGTATGTATATCCTTAAGGGAAATTGGCTTACACAAGTATAGAACTGGTCAGGTAGTCTTGCAGCGCTCATGCGACTAGGAGTCTAATACTGGGGTTTGATATTGACAAAGCAGAAAGGAGCAGGAGCGAAGTGGAAGGAAGCAGAGTCAAGCTGGGAGCTACAGGTGTAAGCTGAGACTCATAGTCATGGAATGAAGCCTTGGGTTAATATTATTATTTCTGGGTTTTATTTTTGAGACAGGGTCTCTGTTATGTAGCTTTGACTCTTCTGGAAATCACTATTATAAATCAGAACTCACAAAGATCCTCTGCCTCTGCCTTCTAAGTGCTGAGATTAAAGGTATGTGCCACAATGCCTCGATAACATTGGAATTTTTTAGGACTATGTGAATTTATTTATTCAGTAACTATTACTATATCAGACACTGTGTGACAACAGACACACAGGATCTAGAATGGTCTTCAAAAGCCTGAGCCCTCTCAGTTTGAAGATCCGTGGAGAAGCGAGGCGATGCAGGCAGAGTCGTGTCATGACCACAGAATTACGTACAAAGCTTAGGGAATAGCAGAACTGGGTGACAGAACCGGGGGCAGAGAAAAGAGCAAGAACATTCTTCTTTTTGATGTTTGTAATCATGGCCCCCCCCCCCCCCCCCCCCCGCTGATTTATTTGTACAGAGACAGGGTTTCTCTGTGTAACAGTCCTGGCTGTCCTGGAACTCACTTTGTAGACCAGGCTGGCCTCGAACTCAAGATCCATCAGATTCTGCCTCCTGGGATTAAAGTCATGCACCACCACTGCCTGACTGTAATCTTGATTTTAAGAAAACATAAACCATGCATGCATATAAATGGCTAGCTTTGTTGGAAGACTGTATGTAGTTCACTACAGAGTCCTGAAAGAACATGAGTGCTGGTTTCTGAAGGGTATTTCAGAACCTGCTTAACTTAGGTATTCTATCAGGCTCAACACCTGTATTTTGATTTACACCTTTTTGGCTCTCAGAAAAGCTTTGTCTTTAAACAATGATCTTAATAAAGTTGGGAAAGAATAATCATCAACAGGGAGTCCTTTGCGGCCAGACCAACTTGAGGGGAGAGTACACATAATTTAATCATCAGTAGCTTCATGTGGCCAATATTGTCCATATTGGATAATACAGATATTGAACACTTCCTGAAAACCCGATATTCCCTTCCACGCTCTGACTTGATTCAGCTCTCAAGATCTGGTTCACTGTAAAATTTGTTTGCAATTTTGTCATGTATTCAGTCACTCTTTTCTCAGTACACCCCTCCCTAGCCGACTCCCCAAAGAACACGGCGGCTACAGAATAGTAGTCCTCCGGGGTTCCTAGAGGGACCCTCTCGTCCCCACTTCCGGGGGCGAGTGCTTCTAGTGGCTTCCCCGCTTCCCCAGGCGGTTCGGGCTACCTGCGGAGCTAGGTGAGTGCCAGGGTGCAGCCCCTCGGCTTCAATGCCTTCCCCAGACCCTTCTGGTCGGGCCGCCATCCTCCCGTACACCCTTCCTTCTACCCCTCGCCCCGCGCCCGTCTCAGGAGAGCATGGAGCTGTGCCAGGCCTCTTCGTAGGTCCGCGGGTCGCCTGTCTCTCATCTGGCACCTCTGCTTGCCGCGCTTCCAGTTGCGGTTCTTTTGCACCGATTGCTCTCCCACTTACCGGCGCCTCCTGCTTGCTTATAGGGTCACACTCTTTGCTTGAGAACAAAGCCCGTTCCAGGGCCAGGTCTCAGTCATGGTCTTGGCTTTCTTTTATTAAACACTCTGAGAGCACCAGCTTCTCTGTAGATTATCATTTAAAATCGGTGACAGGATCTCACTTGTTGCCCAGGCTGGCCCTGAGCTCACTCTAGCCCAGGTTGACCTTGAATTTGGTGAACTCCTGCCTCAGCCTCGCACAGAGCTCACAGTCCTGTGCTACCAGGTCTGGCTTTCTGTGATTGTATTCACTACTAGGTACATGTGTGCTTCTGTTTAACACATGCCCCTCCCTGCTGTTGAGTTCTGTAAGGCAGGGGTGATGTCCTGATAACTGTCCAGCCCCTAATATAATGTCTGCACACAATAAATATCAACAAATTTTGTGAAAGCCAGGCACTCTGGTGAGCACCCTGACTTAGTAATGCTGATGTGAGCAGCATTCAGCAGAGGCATCATCAAGAGTGTGGACTCCAGAGTCATAATCCCAGTTCGCAGGTGGTGGAGGAAGGGAGATCACATTGTTAAAGGCCAGCTCAAAGTATGATACTCCGACTCAAAAACGAAACAAAACAAAACAACAACAAAACAAAGCAAAACAAATGAAGCAAAACCAAACTCAACAACAAAACAGCAGTCCAGATTACCTCCCAAGCCACATAGGTAGGACAACTTGGGTATTCGTTTCTCTTAGAACAGTTGAACTTATACTACATGCTTACGTGCTGTGAAGACAAAGTGACTTGAGACATTTAAAATGGGCTGATAATGCTGGGATCTACTACAAAGGCCCAGTGTGTTGATAATTATTAAATGATCAAACAGGAACATTCTGACACGTTACTTTCAGGACAGATGCCTTAATAGTTAGTAACAGCCTGCCTCTTCCAGGAGAGGATTGCCCAGAAGGGTCCTGGGGATTTCCTCTTGGTTAGACTGATGGCTAGTTGGGGGCCATCATTTTTTTTTTTATATTTGTATATTTATGTATTTATATTTTTATCGTCCAGGCAGGGCTTGGACCCAAGGTCAGTGCCTCCCACCCCCTTCACCATTTCCTGGGTGACACCTGAATCCAGGTTTTCTGATCGGAATGGTTACTTTATATCCTCATGGACAAGCTTGCTTCCCCAGTGTGTATGCTAAGAAGTTGGGGTGTGGCCCTGAAACCCTTCAGTGCCTCTCTAGACTTGCCATCTGTGAGAGGATGGGAGAATCAAGAACCTGGGCTTGACTTTATTGATGTCCTTTTGGTAGATTTCCCAGTGTGAGGCCTATTTTGTAACTCACTCCTTGTGGAATGGGATTTGCCTCTTGCCTTGAGTATGTTACCAGGCCAGTTTTAAAATGTGGTTTTATTGTTGTTCAGGTGTGGTGAGACAAGAGGACAGGAGGTGATTGAGTTGGAAAGGCTAGATTTGTTCCTACAGTCCTCAGGAGACGGGCCCTGCCTTGACACGAAAGCCCCCATTCAACAGGCAGGAAAAGCGAGGGGAAATGGTAAGAATTCTCTGCTTACCGTGGCAGTGGCGAGCAGCAGCTGCTGTTTGCTTGTTTGAGTCACTTCAGCGCACCCTGGGAGGTGGGGATTTTTGTGCTTGTTTGCTGCTGACCTTGAAGTGGTTAGGACAGGAAAGTGGTCCTGAGGGCGAGAGCCTTCCTGAGACCTTGGGAAGAGGAGATTCTGGGCCTGTTGGTTCCCAGCGAAAGGATGCTCACACCGAGTTGCTTCCTGCTGTGGGAACTGGGTAGCTCCGAAGGGGACTATTTGTGTGAAAGCATCGAAATAAAGTGTGTTTAACATACCAGCAGCCCGAGCTCCTATAGCACCTTGCTCTTTCCAGGAGAGGGAATGGAATCTCAGAAAAGGTCAGTTGCTGAGTAAAATCTCACCATGATTAGTAGACAGAGTATGATTGTCTGACTCCAACATTAGTGCTTTCGTGAGCTAAATTACTTACCTGCAATCTGCCAAATGCTCTGGAAATGTTTTCCAGTTTGTATTAGGTACCTGACAGTGTTGGCCAATGCTTCTTTGAAATTCTTTTTTGATCATGCTGACATTCACATGAGCGCGTACACATACAGACATGCGTGTGCACACACACATATGTATGTGCAGTTATATATGTATTTGTGGTGTATAATTTCATGTTATTTTTGGGTTGAGTGATTTTTGGCTCACAATGGTGAGCCAGAACAATATAGATTGCTATATAGTCATGGACAAGACCAGTAGTCCCATTAAAGCATTTGTATTATGTGTATCTGTGTGCATTTATGTACACCATGTGCAGGTGAGTCCCTGGAACTGGAGTTAAGGTGGTTGTGACCCCCTGTATGGGCACTGGGAACTGAACCTGGGTTCTCTGTAAGAGCAGTAAGTGTGCTGAACCATCTCCAGCAAACCCTCTCCACCCCAATAAAGTGGGTTGTTTTTTCCAAAAAGTGAAGTAGTTTGAGGGAAATGTAGTTCCCTTTAACCTTGTCTCTTACAACTCCTTGACTGAGTCAGAGTTCTCAGCACTGACATCTCAGGATCCTTTGTAGATGGTGCCACAGATGTAGTTACTGGGATCTGATTTCGATGCATCTGACTAAGCTAGAAGTCACCCCATTCACATCCCCAGTGAGTGAGATGAGGACATTAAAAACTCTCCCAAGCCACATGAAGGGAACATATGTAGCATTCTTACTAGTGGTAGATCTAGTCTTACTAGTAGTAGATCTAGCTGCCAGCCAGACCGATTGCTAGCTAGTAAGTGATGCACCATGGAAACCAGTCTGGCCCATAATGGTCTTTTTGTTTGTTTTATTTTGTCTTTTAGATTCTTTTATATTTCATTCATTTACATGTTCTGTGTACTAAGTGTTTGCAGAGTCCTTGGAAGCCAGAAGTGGACACTGAATCCTCTGGAACTGAAGTTACACACTGCTCTCAGCTACCCTGTAGGTGCTGGACTTGATCCCAGGTCCTTTGGGGGAACAGTCTTGATATCACATTAGGTATCAAAAGTCAAAACCAACAGCTGACCCTGATCAGTAAACACTGCTGTGAACAAAAGTTGGTCAGAGGAATATAATATTTTCAATTTGCAAAGACCACTCTGGTTACAGAGTGGATAACAGGCTGGTGGGTACTGAGTGAGTTTGGGCCCAGCAGGTGGTAAGTTGTGTGGTTTCACACATGGAAGAGCATTGGGGTGATAACTAGATTTGGAAGGGCAGACTCCAGAAGCAGGGAGTAAAAACAGCAGGAAAGAGTTCGAGAGGACTGCTGAGGTGTCAGCTACTGGCTGCACAGCCAGGTGGATATTCCTGTCTCCTGAACACAGGGTTTTCTGTTACTTTGTTTTGCTTTTCCCCCAAGACAGGGTTTCTCTGCCTAGCCCTGGCTGTCCTTGAACTCTGTAGACCAGGCTGGCCTCAAACTCACAAAGATCCACCTGCTTCTGCCTCCTGAGTATTGGGTTTAAAGGCTTGCACCACCACCGCCTGACCTGAATCCAGGTTTAAGCTGGCATGAATCAGTTTGGTGGTTACCCCATGACTTTATGAGGTATAATACTATGACTTATGCTGCATCTAAAGTCCTTTCGAGAGTTTCAGGAGAATTCATGATGAGAATGAGCAACTGTAGGCAACTAGGTCTCGGAAATCAGGTAGAAATTGTAGACTAACAGATGGATATTAGCGGAAAGTGAGGGTATGGAATCTTGGGGAACGTGGGACATGAAGAGAGACAGTAAAGGGAAATGCTAGGACTAATTTTATGGGGAACACTGGAAAGGAACTGGAGGATAATCATAACATATTCTTTATTATTATAAACTCCCATCAGCCACATGCACCTGAAGGACAAGGTGTTCAGGCACAGGACTTGCAGTACAATTGTGTGAGGGCTGACGAGGTGGCTCAGGGCTTATATTGCTCTTGCAGAAGACTTGAGTTCAGTTTCTAGCATGTATGTTGGCTGGTGGACAACTTCCTGTAACTCTAGCTCCAGGGAATCAAATATCCTTTTCTAGCCTCTGTGGAAACTGCACACATGAGCACAAACCCATACACACACACACACACACACACACACATAATTAAAAATAAATCATGACATTTCAAAAACTGAGTAATATCCCAAACACTGGAATCAAAAGGCTAGAGACTAGTAACAGACTCATGATCACCAAGTGAAGAGCATGCATCAGTGTGCAACCCTGGCAAAGGCTGTGGCACCATAAACAGATCTGACAGCCTGGCACACAGCATTTCTGCTTACATTTGAATTTCTCTGAGGTGTGTGTATAGATCAGAGGAAAACATTCAGGGGTTCTTTTCTTACTCTTTGTGTTCCAGGTATCAAACTTGGGTCATCAGACTTGGTGGCAAGTGTCTACTGTGCCATCTTGTCCTTCCACCCCTCTTTGAGACAAGGTATCACTATGTAGCCCTGAAATTTCTTAAATCCTGACTGACTTAGTAAGAACACAAGTAGTTATTATTTCTCTCGTACTAAAATTTAAGAGTTTGGGAGGCGTTTAAGAGGCAGAGGTAAGGAGGATTGTGACTTTTGAGAATAGCCCTAGCTACATAGTAAAACCCTGTCTCAAAACTAAAATATATAAAAATATATGTGTGTATTTACATTTATGTGTATGTATGTATACACACATACATCTATACACTCACTGCATATATGTATATGCATATATATTTATTTATATGGTGTGCACATACATGTTATTTATCCCTGGCTTTTTGTGTATGTGTGCATGTTGTTTATCCCTGGCTATTTCTGAAGCATCTGTTAATATTTGTCACAGCACAGAGGAAATGCTGCTTTGAAGGTATCTCAGACCTAACTTTCTTACTGAATAGTTCAATATATGGCACAATCATCTTCCAGCCACTAGAGGTGCCCAGAAACCTGAATTCTCTTTCTTTAGATTCTCAGTAGGTTAGAACCCACTATGTAGCCTGAGCTACCTGGAATTCAGTCTTGCCTCAGGCTAGTAAATGTTGGGATTACAGGCTTGAGAAACTATACCTGGTCTTGGCTCCTCTATCTTCCAAACCTTTATCAAGTAGGTCTCTAAGTCTTGTTCAGTTTCTGTATCTTGGGTCCTATTCCTCAAGCCATTACAGTCTCTCACCTGAATGACTGTGGTCCTGTCTCTTCTGCATACCACTCTGCCTGGGAGACAGACATTCCAGCCATGTTGTGACTTTGGCTCAGACCATGGATAATTTGGCTGTTCTGCTATAGGTATGTGTTCTCTTAGTATCCATTAGTGTTCCAGGGTCTGGCATAGACTTTTAAATGTGGGTGCATACAAATACCTGGGACATTTACTAAAGCCGTGGAGATCTTGACGGAATCTTTCATAGGGTTCATCTTCTGTGGCTAATTGAGCTATACCTGGAGATGACAGCCATTGGTCTGCTAGCCCTAAGCCACCGTCAGCTTCTGCAGTGGGCCATGTCCTCTTACCCATTTGTGTCACTCAGATCACATTCCTCTGAGATTTATCTTGCAGGCTGCTCTCCCTGCCTCTTCTGGCCCCTCTCTCTGGTCTTAGTCGGTATTTTCTTTGTGTTTACGTCCCTCTGATTTCATGCTGTTTACCTGTCGTTACTCCACACTGAACTCAGAGGCCATTGGAAGAAAACTTTAACGTGAGACTTGTTTAGCAGTCTGCATAGCACACAGTAGATTTTTAAGTATTTGTGAAAAAATGAAGGGAATTTTCTGCTGGGACTTTCAGTAAGGAATAATCTTCCCTTCTTTGTGCATTCATGGACATTTCCTGTGACCCCATCCAAACATTTTTGCTGTCATTACTAATTTGCAAGAACAACCAAGCTTGATCTGGGCAGTCCATTCCAGAATAAAAACAGCTAGTGATTGAATGTCAGGCAAATTCAAGATGTTTGACTTCTTCATCTGTAAAACATAGGGATGGTATTTACTGCACAGTGGTATTGCTGAAATCCAATAAAATAGCTCTTGTCAGCTGCCTGGCCCATGAGTTCCTGAGACTGTAACAGGGCTAAATACTTTGCATGCAAAGTCCAGCTCTGCTGTTCGTTAGCTGTGTGCCTTGGTCATCTTATGGTCCTCAGAAGCCTCATTCGGAGAATGGACAAATCATGATTGTCCTTAAGGAGCACTATTTTATTATCCCTAATGTTATTACTGAAGGTCACATGATTGCAGCTATACTAAAATTTTGTCTCATGTTCTGAAAACAATCTTGAATAATCTATAGGTTATCATTTGTATGTATCATTTAGCCTGTCTTCTACACAGGCACAGTAACTAGTGAGTTGCATACTCTGCAGGCCAGTCTCTCCCCCCACCCCCAGTGGTGTATACCCAGTGACTGTCCTCCGTAAACATGTAGGTACATTCTGAGCATATGCTTTCCCTGTGTAATATGAACACTGTCCACCTCCTCTCTGCCTCAGCTAGGTAGTCTTTTCAGATTGTCTTGCCCAGGATGTTCAGAGAGGCCACAGCCTTGGCCTGTCCTGCTCCAAAAGGACAAAACAGACTCAGCTTTGTGAAAGTTGAAGAAGAAAATGTTTGGAGGCAGGACTTCAGTCTTCAGGGAAACCTCCAGAGCCAGGAGGTTTTCCGCCAGCAGTTTAGACAGTTTGGCTACTCTGACTTCACTGGGCCTCGGGAGGCTCTGAAGCAACTGCAGAAGCTTTGTCAGCAGTGGCTGAGGCCAGAGGAGCGCTCCAAGGAGCAGATCCTGGAGCTGCTGGTGCTGGAGCAGTTTGTGGCCATCCTGCCTATGGAGCTGCAGGCCTGGGTGCAGGAGCACAGACCTGGAAACGGAGAGGAGGCTGTTACCCTGTTGGAGGAGCTGGAGAGAGAATTTGATGAACCTAAACAACAGGTAAGAGGTAAGGGTTTTTTTTTTTTGTTGTTGTTGTTGGTTTTGATCTAGTGTGGGTTTTTTGAGAAGCCATTATGAGTAGCACTGACTCAGCTCTTGGGAACTTAGCCAGTTTCTGCCTCTTGGTAAATTAACTATTCACCCATTAGTTCAAGTCATGGGGTCTGTAGTGTTGTTTTTTTTCTAGTCATCTGAAGAGTTTTCTGGCTCTTCTGCCTTGTCCATCACTGTTGGGTGATTCTCCTGTATATCATTAGTCACAGTGCTGGTACTTGTTATTCTAGGACACAGCTTCTGGCCAAGAAATGACACTCATGGGAACACAGAAACCTCTGAGTAGCCCACTGCAGTCCTTGGAGGACCACTGCAGGAGTGAACTCCAGGAGTCTCAGGTTTTCCATGAGAGAGATGAGGCAACCCTACCATTTAGGGTTGAGGATGAAGGTGAGGACTATCAAATGTGCCAAGACTTTCTGTCATCTCTACTGTCACTAAGTATTGTGGAAAATCCTGCTGACTTTGAAATATTCTTCTATTGGCTCAGCCTAGAATCTGAAATTTCAATATAATTTTTAAAATTTGGATTAATAATTAAAGTCTTTCATAAGATTTTCTGATGCCATATTCCAAGACTGATGCTGTTTTCAAAAGTATTTTTTGTCACACTTATAAGGAAGTATCTAAGAAGGACAAGAATACTGTCAGTGACTAAAGTCTCATAATAACTTGGAAAAGGGAAAACGTAATATTACAGATTGTAAGCTGCAAGCCAGATGTTGTGGCATACACCTATAATACCAGGACCGACTTGAAAGGCTGAGAGGTAGGAGGGCTGCGTGACCCAGGTCAGCCTGGACTACACAACGAGATGGTCTCAAGAAGAAAAGTAACAGAGCATTGATCACTATGTAGTCTCACTAAAAGTCACACTCTAGAACATACAGGACTAAGGTGGGAAGTCCTCAGAAGAACACACGTGTGAGAGGTGCCATGTTTCATCTGCTCCTGCTAGGGCTGACATCTGATCTTGTTAGAGAGGTACAGTCACAGACAGAGGAAGAGATGTGCTCTGAAATGCTCAGCAGGCTAGATCCAGTAGAAACCACCTTTAGGGTACTAAAAGCCTGCCAGGAAATTTGACTTAGCATAAAATTTTCTGGGAAGCTGCCAAGGTGGACAGTTTCTTTGAAATGTATTAAAGTGTTTGTTGTTGGGTGTCCTGCATGCTCTAGGAATGAACAGAAAGATCTTCCTCACTGTCCTTCTAACTCCCTCAACTGATAAAACATACATGCTAGCATAATGCCAGTATTATAGATAGGACAATGATAGATTTGAAATAAGGAGGCAATAAATCAAAGTATCAGAGATGCCAAGGATAAGAGCCAAAAGGACTTTTACGTTATTGACAACATCCATATAGACATCAGCCATCCCAGGTAGCTGATGCCTATTACATCTGCCTCTGATTTCATTTTCACCAAGCAATGTTGTTACAGTCCCATGAAGCTTAATTATTAAGATAATGCCTTATTCAGTCAAATCTATATAATTTACATTATTCTTATTACAGTTATATTATATAGTTACAAGAGGTTGGCTAGTATGAGTCCACCTTAAGAGGTAAATGTGTTGTATGCTGATAGAATTAGATATGAGGACAGAAGCCTGAAGGTCTGACCTTAGACCTTGGCAGTTCACCAAAGGAATCATGTAAGTTATCTACTGAGGTTACTTTAGAAACACCCACTCAACCTTACACATTCAAATGCATTTAAAAAATGGTCTTATCATATTGCCTTGTGGGGAACTATCTACTAATAGATTGTCTGTATTAGTTTTTTGTTGTTGTTTGATAAAGATATTTATTTATTTATTTATTTATTTATTTTTGAGACATGGTTTCTCTCTGTAGCCTTGGCTGTCCTGTAACTCACTCTGTAGACCAGGCTGGCTTCAAACACAGATTCACTTGCCTCTGCCTCCCAAGTGCTGGGATTAAAGATATGTACCACCACAGCCCAGAATCTGTATTAGTTTTTAATCAGTATAATGAGATACCTTAAGCAGTTAGCATTATAAAGAAAACTGCTTTATTTGCTCATACATTTGGAAATTTAGGGTTGTGTTACCTTCATTGGCTCGTTTCTGGTTAGGGTCCTTTCTGTAACATCTATCATGATATTGGTTATGAGAGTACAGACAGAAACGTATGATCACATAAGAGCAACAGCAGAGACACCAACTTAAGGTTAGGCTCAGGTTTTTAGAACAGTCCTTGCAAGAACTAACCAGTTCTCAGTTTCCATGAGAAACATCTTAATCATCCTAGTAGGCCTGCCCTCCTAAAGGCTCCATCAGTTGCAACATCACTATACTGGGGACCAAACTCCCAACAAAGAAGCTTTAGAGAACAAACAGCATGCAAACCTAACAATGTCTAAATCTTTTAGAACAGATATATCCACCCCTCCCCCACATCCCTTTCTATCACTGTCTTGGTTTTTTGAGAGTCTTGCTACATAGCCTTGACTGTCCTGAACCTGATACTCAATATGTAGACAAGGCCTGTGCCTCTGCCTCCTGAGTGTTGGAATTAAAAGGTGTATGCCACACTTGGCCCTCTACTTAGTTTTATTAAGGTCTTGACAGAGTCTAATTTCCTTTATTGTATCATTGGTTGAAGCTCTTGCTCTTAGTACTTTAGGATGTGACCGTACTTTTTGGACAGAAGGTTACTGTGTCCCTTATCCATTATGCCTGCTGTCTTTTTGGGAACAGGGAAAAAATTGTTTTTCTGTTTTATGCAAACGTTCCCTGGTCACATCATTTCACTTAATATAATACTTATTTTTATTGTTTTCAAGACAGGGTCTCACTAAGTAGTTTTGGATGTCTTGGAACACAGTGTGTCTACCAACCAGACTTGCCCGAAACTCACAGAAATCCACTTGTCTCTGCTTCTTGAATACTAGGACTACAGGCGTGCACCACTATGCCCATCAAGTGCACTATTTTTATGTCTTTATTATATACTAGTGTTTTGATGGGCATTTTATTTATGTATTTTTTTTTGAGATAGGGTCTCAGTATATAACCCTGGCTGGCCTGGAACTCAGAATGTAAACGAGGCTGGCCTCAAACTCAAAGATCTATTTGTCTTTGTCTCCTGCACACTGGGATTTAAGGTGTATGCCACCACCTAGCCTTTTTCCATAACTTTTTAAAGATAAGCACCACCTTGAATAAGTGTCACTATAACTGTTATTTCTTTCTAAATGCTTTGTGTCTTTTTCTATTGCTTATATTGATTTGCCCTATTTGGAACCTGCCAGAATTTGCAAATGCTATCTTGCTTTCTATTCCCTGCCCACCTCCCTGTGTCCAATATTTATCTATCCCCCAAACATTTTATAGTATCACATGCTCTCCTACTTTGTTAGATGTACTGCTGATCTACAACTCTTAAGACATATTATTCCTGATTCTGTATAACCTCTTCTCCTTTTTTATGTTATCTAACCTAGAATCATCTCTTCCCTTTCTGGTTTATGACTGGTATTACTGTTTATCAACTCTAAGTATTGTTTTCTTATTCAATCGTCAACGTCTCCAATACTTACTTATGTTCTTTGTCCATTTTACTCTCGAGTTCTATATAGGGAATTGTCATTCTCCCACCCATATCCCTTCCCCAATCCTGGAGATTAAACCCAGGACCTTGCGTTTGCAAGCACTATAAAATCACTGGGCTGTATGTCCAGCCCTGGTATTTTTTTTTAAACGTATTAGTATCTGCCTGCATGTTTGCATATGCACTACCTGCATGCCTGGTCCCCACAGAGGCCAGAAGAGGGTGCTGTATCTCCTGGAACTGGAGTCAGAGATGGTTATGAGCCACCAGGTGGGTGCTGGGAACTAAATCAGGGTCCTCTGCAAGAGTAAATCACCAAACCAGCCAGGTCTTTGTGAGTTCAAGGCCAGCTTGGTCTACAGAGCTAGTTCTGGGACAGCTAGGGCTGTTACACAGAGAAACCATGTCTCAAAGAAAAAAATCACCAAGCCATCTTTTGAGAAGCAGCACTTCCCCTTTTCCTTTGGTTTAACATGAAAGAATGACACACCCTATTCACATTTTTAGATAGCAAGATGGTGACTGACAAAGTACTGACAGCAAAGCAAGAAGTTATTGACCGTGTTACATCAGTGGCCATGGCATCTCCAGGAAGACTTCCTAGGGACTCTTCTCCAGTACAGATAGTTGAAGAAACTATGGGATGTCTGGACAACAATAAGCAAAGAGGAAGTGATGATGCAAGCAACAAAACGAGTCCACTTTCTTCCCAGGAAAGCTATTTCAGTCTGGCAAGTTTTAACAAGAAACCCCCCACAGAACAGAATACCTTCGAGTGTGATGAAGGTGAAGGAATTCTCAGTCTAAACTTGCACGGTACTGTACTGTCCAGAACTCACACAGGGAAACTGCTCTATGAGTGTTTGGATTGTGGGAAAGCTTTTTACCATAGGTCAAAGCTGATTAGACATCAAAGAAGTCATACCGGAGAGAGACCTTATGCATGTAAAGAATGTGGAAAAGCCTTTGGTTTCAGAACAGATCTTGTTAGACATCAGAGAATTCACAGTGGTGAAAAACCCTATAAATGTTGTGACTGTGGGAAAGCTTTCAGGGGCAGCTCAGGGCTCATTAGGCACAGGAGAATTCATACTGGAGAGAAACCTTATGGTTGTGAAGAATGTGGCAAAGCCTTCAGCCAGAGCTCCACTCTCATTCAGCATAAGAAGATTCACAGTGGAGACAAAGGCTATGCATGTACTGAATGTGGTAAGGCTTTTAGGAGAAGTTCTGTTCTTAGGGAACATGAAAGAATCCATACTGGTGAGAAACCTTACGAATGTAACAAATGTGAAAAATCCTTTAATCAAAGCTCAGCCCTCACCCAGCACCAGAGAACCCACTCTGGGGAAAAACCTTATGAATGCTATGAATGTAGGAAAATATTTAGGCATAGGTCAGGGCTTATGCAGCATCAGAGAGCACACACCAGAGTTCAACTCTGTGGGTAAGAGTTGTGTAATTATGAAATGTAAGGAATTCACTTTGAAGGGGAGATTCCACAAAAATTATAAGTTTCTTGACAGCAAGACTTTTTCTTTCCAGCCTAGTTCAATCCTGTTAAGAAATCCACACAAACAGCTTACATATTGAAAGTTTTATCTAGATCTTGTCTGCAAAGACTGGTAAAAAGACTGACCCACTTCTGAATGAGGACTCTCACCAATATGTTCTTCATCCATTCCCCACTACAGATAGAACTGTCATTGAGCACCTTCATGTGAGTCCATGACTGCGGATCCTGCAAGATCTCCTTATAAAATGGCAAAGATCACTGTCCAGCCAAAGTGTTTTTGTCTGGCAGGAGTGCATTTTTTTTAAATTACTGAAGTCTGAAATGTTGAATTGAGGCTATGGAATGTCATGTCCTGGATCGGTCTAATATCTGAGGAATGGAAGCTGTCTGCCCCACTGCCAGTTCTTTCAACCCTGAGCTTCCTGTTGTTGTCTACTTCCTTATTGGTACCTCCTGGGCTTAACCATTGGGAGAAAGACTTGATCACTGTCCCCTCAAAATTAAGGGCTAATGGAATATACAAATTTATTAATCAAGTAATTCTGATAAGAGTGTGGCAATAACTTTGCCAGATAAATGTTGGAAGATATTCAGAGATGCTTTACCTGGTTTACAAATTAACTAAATATTTCCTTGGGTGTGATATCTCATTTGAGACCTAAAATACAGAAGTTAGCCTGGCTAATGGCAGAACAGAGGCAGAGTTCATATAATACATACGTGGAATGATGAGAAGAGAGGATCTGGAGACATTCCTGGTTCTTCAATTCCTGCTGGAATTTTCTTTGATTCCAGTTTAGAAGCCAGGTTGGTTTCTTTTGCAGTTTGTAATAGCCTGAGTTGGATAACCTGTTTCAGATCACAAGACTTTTATGATCTGGAAGTATTCAGTTAGCACGGTAACTAGTGTTTCTAATGTAAAATCAGACATGTATACCAAGGAAACAGGCATACACTGGAAGCTGAGGACAGTGAAATCTGGAGTCTCTCAGCGTTAGGTTTGCAGATGGTAAGCCACTTGAGGGAAATACACATTGAGTCAATCTCTCAGACTCTACAAAAGTTTAATTTGGCAGTTTTAATTAACCCACAATTGCTGAGGGTAATTTTTACTTAGGAAAATGCACCATTTTTGAAGGTTTGGTAATAACAGCTATTGTGAATAGAGATAAAATTGGATATGGTTCTCACTTCCAAAGGATGTGCAATTATGTAAGATCTGACTTAAAGGGATAATTCAAGTGGACAGTAAATTCTTTCTTATAGGTGACAAGTGAATTAGTCAATGTTTTTAGTATCATTTAACCCTTTTTCTAATTGCGAACATTGAAAAGTATCAATCATCCATAATTCTTACCCATAGCAAAGTTAACTTTTGAATACTCCCTACTAATGTTTTTCTATAATCCTAACATTTCTGGTAAAAATCTCTAGTACAATTTTTTTTTATAATTTTAATATTTTGTTTAATATGCACTCCAGTTGCTTAGTATCAGCATGTAATGGAATGTATTGTAATAAAATTGAAATTTTAGTTTTGCTTTTAAATCATTCAGGTAAAAACACAATAGGAGTGGAGTTAGGCTGGAGGGTAGGAAGGAGTGTAGGAAAAAGGGAAGTAGCACACTTAAATTTCTAGTTCCTGGATTAAATGAAACAACATGAAGCTGTGACAGCAGACTTTTGAGTTGCTGGAGTACTGGAGAGAAAAACCAAGACCCTTTTCAATTCATACATATACAAAGTCCACCAAGACAGCCTCCTTCAGCAGTGCTAAGTGCTGAGAGAGACCTTTGGTATGACATCATTTTCAAATTATGTGCATGTGAATGCAAATGCCTACAGAGGCCAGAAGCAGGCACTGGATCCCCTTGGAGTGGAGTTACAGGAGGTAAACTACCCAGTGTGGGTGCTGGACCCCACTCTGGTCCCCTTTAAAAGCAGTACCTGCTCTAAGCCATCTCTCTAGTCCTATGTTTTGGGTAATTTTGAGACGGTTTCATATGAAGCTTAGGCTGGCCCAAGATGTGACTTCCTCTTCAGCGGTTCACAAACAGAAGTAGGTTATTAGGTCACTGTCAGATGACTTGGAAACTCAGTCCTCTCAGATCTAGTTGCAGGCTGTGGCATGAGGGAGGAAGGTAAGTTCCATGTGAGGCAAGCACTGCTTTACAGACTGCCCTGGAGCAAGAAGAGCAGAGCAGAGAGAGAAGGGCACTGGCTGTTTTCCTTCAGAACTTCCTCTCAGCTGCTGTTGGTGTCCACTCATTTCATAAAGACTGACACTGACTGTAAGATCATCTTCAGCTCCTCTAACGTGAGAATACAGATGAGCTCACTTGTTTATGCCTGCTGAACTCATGGGAAAGCACTAATGACAGGAGCTCTTAAATACTTACAACTTGCTTCTCTGAGCCATAAATCTTTATGCAGGAAAGTTAACTTGCACAGGAATTTAGAATTTGAAGGGGATTCTTTTAATATTATGAAAATACGTCTGCATTGATTTCATCAACAATGAAAGATCAGAGTTAAGTTAGTTAAAACTTGAGACAGGGATGTCTTAGAAAGCAAGTTCTTATTTTCACTATTTTGGGCTTTTGTTCACTACCTGCTCTGCCGAGGGCTAGGAATCTAGAAATTAAGCCTGGGGCCTTACACATGGTAAATTTATGCTTTATAACTGAACTATATTCTCTTGCCCCTCCCTCTATAAGCAGTGCTAGATTTTGCATAAATTTTAAATAGATTTTAAATACGAACATAGCACATTACCTGTAATTTCACCACCTAGAAGTAACCAGTATAACATCTTGACATTGTATATGTCTGTTATTTTTAATGCATAATATTTTACATGGGTTCATGTTGTATATGTGTATTTAATATATCATGAATGCTTAACATGTTTTAACAGCTTGTAAGGCTGCATTGTCATCCTTAAGTATATTTCTGGATAGAATGTCAAAGTCCAATGCAGTGCTGAAGGCTTTTGGTACTGATTGCCAGAGGTAATGAATACATTCACAGTTCATTAGCAGCAAGAGTCCTAGTATGTTCAAATTCTTGTTAATTTTATATGGAAAACAAATCCAATATGACTGTAAATTCTATGACTGGACATATGTGTATTGTTCACTAGCACATCTGTGATTTAAATGTTAGTGGGACTTTTTCATGGATTGTATAAAGTGTATATATTGTAGTTGAGTTAAAACTCTGGACCTTTTGGCTATGATAAACATCATCTCCTATGTGTAAAATATGATTTGTACTAATGACTAACACACACACAAAACCCTTGGCAAATACCCGTTACATTTCCTTCTGATCCTATGTAAGAGCTCTAGGGTATTTTTCCCTTTTCTAACATTATTTACTGAACATCTACATTAGGCATTTAGTTTGTTACATTTCTATTGGTTAGTACATACTCACCTATAAATGTCCAAGACAGCATTACTTTTGTATCCTTATAAAAATTATTTTTGTTTCTACATAGATTTGATTTTGTTAAGGTATATTATTCCTCCAAACCATTAGGCCTTTGAATTGACTTTTTTACCCAGTGTTTTTGAGGTGGTCCCATCATGTAGCTCAAACTGACTAGGTATGCCTTTTGTCTCACTGTTGAGACTGCAGGGATGACAAGGCTTCTCGAGCTGATCAGCTTTCCACGTTGCACCATGCACCAGCATTAGGATACTCTTCCTGCGGGGCTCCTCAGAAGAGGGCAAGGCCCAACAAAATCAGCATCTATACTGCTCTAGCATTGCAAGGCCCACCAAAATCAGCATCTATACTGCTCTAGCATTGCCCTTAAAATTTTCAGGATACTGATAAATATTGCTGACATAAGACAAAATATGTGCAGGGTAATTGGAGAAAAAGCTAAAGACCCAGAAACGGAGAATTTTTGAGCACAAGGCAAATTGTGCATAGGTGGAGAAATGGCAGCATTAGAAACAGTTGCTATGGCATCTTTTAATGCAGCAACTCCAATATTGTGTAAAGAACCCAAAGAATCTGCATCTAGGCTGTTCTCTTACATATTGGATTCTCTGTAGAAGTTTAAACATTGTCTCAGGTTGTGCCGGGAAACTACTGATTAGCCCTTACCATTAGGCCACACTGACCAAGGACACTAGGTTTTTACTAATTTATTAATAGAAACTTCATAGACTCACATGCAGTGCTTGAGAGTCTGGCTGTAATCATATTTCTCACTGATAGGATGCCAATTTTGAACTCAATAGGTAATGTTCCATATTTTGTTCCTAGTGTTAAACAAACAAAACAACCTCTTTCATTGTAACCTGGCCTTCCTTCCTTCCTAGTTAACTCATTTTTCATGTCATTTCAGTATCCTTTATCCAGAGTTCTTCACAAGAAGGAAATAGGGAAAGTGCAGGGCAGTGGTGGCACACACCTTTACTCCTAGCACTTTAGATGCAGTGGCAGAGGCAAGCAGATTTCTGAGTTCAAGGCCAGTCAGCATGGTCTACAGAGTGAGTTCCAGGACAGCCAAGGCTACACAGAGAAACCCGAACTCCACCCCTAAAGGTTGTAATAGATGACCATACTAAAGTGTCATTACCTGACTGGTAATGGCCATTAGACTATGGAAATATCTTTTTTCATTTTATTTCTAGTCACTGGCACAAAGCAGGTATAAAAAAATAACAGAACTGACCACTTGCCTAGCATGTGAGGCCCTAAGTTCAATACCCAGCATATGGGTGGGAAATGGACAGGGCCCTCAGGTTGTCTAAACTAATTTGTATCTTTTTCTTCTCAAGCTCAGTTTATTTTGGGCCTGTCTTGGGATCAACAAATCATCAATGAAATTGTTTGCTCACTTTTCTTGTTGATTGGCTACTGCTGAGTAAACAACTTTTGAATTTCTTAAGCAGTCTCTCATGCCATCCATATTATCTGATAGAATCAGATGTAGTGACAGACAGGATGAAGCCTTTTCCCATGATGTTCTCATAGAAAATGAGGTCTCAATATTACGTTACTTTTTTTTTTTATTTTCCTGAGTATTCCTAATGTTAAGAGCAAAGCTCAAAGGAATGGTCCTTTATCTTGCTCTGGTCAATCACAGGAAGTTTCAAAGAAAATTCGCAGTAGCATCGGGAAGTGCTGCACATAGCAAGTTAGACTGACTAAAGACCGTTTGTTTTTTAAAAACTACCTTTGTGGAATCCTGTTCCAAAGTCAATGTTCTGGCTAATATAGAGAAAAATATACTATTTATGAATCACTGTATTAAGTTACTTAACAGCGTGGACTCTCTGATGGCGCATCAACACTGATCTGTGCCTAAAAGCCTTCCCACATTCATTACATATATAAGCTTCATCCCCAGAATGGATTCTCTGGTGCTGAACAAGGGCTGAGCTCCTTTTGAAGGTCTTGCCACAGTCATTACACTGGTAGGGTTCTTCTCCACTGTGAATTCTCTGATGTCTGATGAGGTTTGAGTTCAGACTGAAGGCTTTTCCACACTCCCTGCATTCATAGGGTTTCTCTCCGCTGTGTATCCTCTGATGGGTGATCAGCTCTGAGCTCTGCTTGAAAGCTTTTCCACATTCACTGCACTCATAGGGTCTCTCTCCTGTATGAATTCGCTGGTGTCTAATAAGCTTTGAGCTCTGGCTGAAGGTTTTCCCACACTCATTACACTCATAGGGTTTCTCGCCAGTGTGAATTCTCTGATGTATAATTAGATAAGAGCTTTGACTGAATGCTTTGCCACACTCATTGCATTTACAAGCTTTCTCACCTGTATGAATTTTCCGATGTCTAGTGAGGGCTGAGCTCTGATTGAAGGCTTTTCCACATTCATTACATTCATAAGCTTTTTCACCACTATGGATTTTCTGATGAATAATGAGATATGACCTCAAGCTAAAGGCCTTCCCACACTGATTGCATTTATAGGGCTTTTCTCCAGTATGGATTCTCTGATGCTGTGTCAGAGAGAAATGCTGTTTAAAACTGTGCCCACACACATCACATCTGTAAGGTCTCTCTTCTGGAGAAACTTTCTGACATGTCACAGAGTTGGCACTTAGAATTAAGCATCTTTGAGATTCATCATGATCTCTCTTTGATAAGGATTTGTGTGTGAAGATCACCTGACTAAAGCTACCCCTATGGAGAGGGGAGCTTCTCTGCTGCCACTCTAGACTGCCTTTGTGCTCACTAACACCTCTAAGTGGAGGCTCCCAACAGAGTCCCGGGGATTTTTCTTCTGAAATGTCATCTTCTGCTGTTGTTTCATTATTCTTAGAATCTGACATGGTAAAAGCAAAACAAAACAAAATAAAGTTAGTAAAACTCCAGAATTTACATTGCTTCAGCTACTCTCAAGTCTTCCTGTGTTCCACAGGTTAGCCTGACACTTCTGGTCTCAAAGGATTCTTCCTATCCAACTTTCCAAGTAGTTGGGATTATATGTCATCTCCTCTATGGCTAACTTAAGTTACTTTTTATGTAAGGTAAAATAGACCCTCTAAGGGTCCACTTAGAAAGATGTCACTGTTCCCTAGGGTCTTTTCTCTTTCCCAGTGCTAAAGCCTACATCTTCCTTTAACTTTCATCTTTTCTTTCTTTTAAGACATCAGCTGGACAATTGCTCATTACTTTTCTACTATTTTCAGTCTCTTTCTAAATTGACTTCCCATAATGATTAGGGTCACCTGGGAAGAATGTCTCAGTGAGGCTGTCTAATCAGGTTGGCTTGTGGGCATGTCTGGGGGAGATGTCTTATGTTAATTAATGTGAAAAGGCCCAGCACATTGTGGAGTGTATCATTTCTGGACATGGGTCCTGGACTGTGTAAGAGTGGAGAAAAAGAGTATAGCAGCAGCATGCATGTGTTCATCCTTTCCCTGCTCTTTACTGTGGATGTGACTAGCTGCTTCAAGTTCTTGCTGTCTTGACTGTCCTTCAACAATGAAATATAATCTGTAATCATGAGGTAAAATAAACCATTTTCCCCTTAAGTTGCTTCAGCCAGGATATCTTACCATAAAACCCAAAAGAAACCTAAGACAATCCCACTTACTAGCTTAAGCTCAAGTCACTCCCGCCCTCCTTAAAAACCAAGCTTTCTGCCTATGTATCTGTTGAGCGGCCTCACATTTACAGTAAAATTTCTTGAAACGGTTTGTCTAGAATCATTGCCATTCTGCAGTCTGGTCTCTAGTCTGCCTTTCTCTTGAACTCCACTGCTCCTTGGCAGCAGTCCTGTCAAGGTCACCACATCATAACTGTATAACTGAATGGGTACTTTTGGATCTTACTGAGAGCCACACCTCCCATTGTTCTAGTTTTCTTCTTGAGACAGGGTTTCACTCTACAGAGCAGGCTGGCCTCCAACCAAGGGCAACCCTACAGTCATCTAAAGGCTGGAATTAAAAATGTGAGTGCCCCTCCTTCTCTCCCTGTTGTTTTAGATTTTAGGGCTAGTCACTTGGAAACTATACTCCTTCAGAGTCTACCCTGAGTTTTCTGTATCTTCACTGTTGAAACTCTCTACCCTGGATTTCAGTTAGTATTTGCACTTAGGCTTATGTCTTCTCAGATCTTCAGTTCTACCTTGAGACTGTCATATTGAATTTTTGCTTATATTTATACCCAAATGCACCATATCAAATACATCAGGTTTTTTTTTCTTTTACAAACAGTACCATTATTAACCACGTCGTTCAAGACTGAAACTTGATCACATTCAGATTATTCTCATTCACGATCTGCTTTTAATGATGATCATCTACTGTAATGCACTTTGAATGCTGAGGAATAAGATTCAGCTTTAATCTTCTCTATGCCTCAGAGTAGCACAGGTTTCATCATTCACTATAGCCTCTTGGATGCCAAGTGTCTAATAAGCTTCTAGTCTCGCCTTTCTCAAATCATTGCTATACTCTGCAGCTGAGTTCTAAACTACACTTCCTTGTCCACTACCCTTCAGCTGCACCCTTTACACACAGGATCTGGACCAGTGTGACATAAAGACTGTAACAACTGTGCCTCATTTTCTCCTTTAGATTTTCTTTCATTATACCTTCCCTTATCAATTCTCCAGTCAAAGTACTTATAATTTCCATAATGCTTTGTATTCTTACCTTAATGGCTTTAAGTACCTATTTACCTGGCTTTCCCTATTCTAGTTCAAATTACAGCTTAGATGTTTCTTCCTCCAGAAAGTAGTCCTTAAATATTTAATTTTGTTGAAGATTTATTTTATTATTTTATGTGTATGGGTGTTTTGCTGGTATGTATGTTATGTACCAAGTGCACATATGGTGCCAGAGGGGTCAGTAAAGGGTGTGAGATCTGGAGTTAGACGGTTGGTTGTAAGCTGCCATGAACTCATATCCCCTGCAAGAGTAGCCAACTCTCCAACCCTCCTTGAATCTCACAGTAGGTCTGGTGTCACTAATGTGCTGCCACAGTACCCACACAGTGCCTACATGCATTCCATAATTTACTGCACTAGGCTGCATCTGCTTTTCTCTGTGGGAACCACTCACGGAGGCCTCAAAGTTACTTGAAGATGAAAACTTATCTACCACAGTAATAGACATTTTTAGCAGTCTTCAAAGTTATAAAACGATTAAGTGAATCAATGACAGGGTCATACAAGGAAGATACAAGGGGGTCACTGAATTCACAGCTGCTGAAGTGAGCACCTCTGGTTTTGATTAATACAAGTGATATTCACATGCAACACGTTTATAAATGTAAGTCTGCATTTTCAAAACCAGAGGCCTAACTTACATAAATCTGAGGATAAAATTTCTATTCTTACCACTTTTAGAGGAAGGGCAAGGTTTCCAGGATTTCAGCTGTGTTTTCAAAGGCCGGACTTGGATGCTTGTGGAATCCTGAGATTCTCTGAGATATGTCAAATCTTTCCATGACACTGATGGTCCTTGTGGACTATCTGGGACCTGAAACCAGTAAAATATGATTAGTAAAAATCTTGAACAGGTTAATGAGGTCACTGTCACAGATGAAGGAGGGGTGGTAGAGATAGGTATGTGCTATTGTTATATTAAGGTTGTGGTTCCTGAGAGAATTTTAACCAGATAAGATACTACATAATCTAGGTTGCATTCCCCCCCCCCCGCCCCCCCCCCCCCCCCAAAAAAAACCCATCGTATCTCTGTTCCCACCTGCTGCCCTGGATCATCAAACTCTTTCTCCAGATCCTCCAGCAGACTCACAGCTTCCTCACCACTTCCTGGGCCATGCTGTTGGACCCATACCCTCAGCTCCTCAGGTAAGATGCTCAGGAACTGCTCCAGCACTAGCAGTTCGAGGATCTGCTCCTTTGTGTGCAGCTCTGGCATCAGCCACTGATGGCAAAGTTCCTGGAGTCGGCACAGAGCCTCTCGGGGCCCGGGTGTTTCATGATAGCAAAACTTCCTGAACTGCTGGCGAAACAATTCTTGGCAAGATTGGGTGCTTCCATTCTGTTTACAGTTCTGACTCCAAGAAAAGCTATCTTCTATTTTTACTAGTATTAATTCTTCTTCTTGATGATCCTGAGGTTTTAAAGTTGAAATTGCTCTGGATTCCATAGCCATTCTGGGCTGAAACAGCTTATAAAAACCTTAGTATAACTGAGCTTTGTGCTTGGGGGAGGATCCTACAAGATATGAAAACACTATTAACTTACAGCATAGAAAGAAAAATCTCTAAAAACCTGTAATATTTAAAGGAAACAGGCTAAACTAAATAACTCGACAAAGAATTAAGATCATACCCCTACTGTGTAGAACTCCTAATTACAGAAAAAAATGTTTAGAAGTGTAAGACTGCAATATTAATATGAATTACATTGTGAGATTATTTCCTTTTCAATCATGTTTCAGTCCTGATTAAATTCTTTACTCCATATATAAAGCAGAACTCTTTTCAGTGCTGGTAATGAACTCACAGTCTACTAAGCTGCATCCTTGTCCCCCTTCGACAGTGCTGGGACTTGAACTCAGGCCCTTCGCCATGTGAGACAGCATTCTATCACAGGGCTACATCCCCAGTCATAGAAAATTTTAATAAAATACAGGCTTCAGATTCAGAATCCTTTGGCAGATTTTTCCCCCTTTTTTGAGACAGGGTCTATGTAGTCCTGGAACCTGATATGTACATTGGGGTGGTCTTGAACTCACAGATCCTTCTGCCTCTGCAGTGCTATGATTAAAGGCATGTAACATTATGCCCAGCGTTTGGCAGAATATAATGCTAGCCTAATTATCTTTTTAGTTATTGTTTTTTATAGCACGTAGTGTTGGTGTATATTTAAGGTAGTAATATTTAAAAATTTGCATTAAACATGAGTTTGTTTAAATAAAATATTGCTGTATACTTGCCGTTTGGTTCCACTAGTATACTTCAGTTTTCAGCGAATGTGGAGGAACTTACTGTGTGTGGGCTTTGTTTTGAGCTAGTATTATGGAAAGGTTTGGCTTATGAATGAATTTAGTGAGGATTTCAGTAACTGTAAAATACTTGACTTGGGTTAAAAAAACATGCTATTATGGATGCAAAAAGTCAATTTAAGTCCGCAAAAGCTGAGTATTCTAAATTCAATCGAAATATAGTAGTAATCACGCCCTAGATTTGGGGCTATGGAACGAACATGACATGATGTGAGCGGGTATATGCAGAGTCCTGTATGTCCTTTAATTGTTAAAACCCGGCCCTGAGCCCCCTCCCCACGGGACGGAGGCAGCGAGCGCACCGTCCTGTCTCCCAGCTTACACATCAACCCAGCCCCATGCCCACCAGAGGATCCGACCCCTGACAAGTAGTTTAAGTCACACCACTCCCGTCCCCTACCGGTAACGGAGCACGGGTCACCCATTAACTCAGCCTGAAACTCCCCCTTCCCCTCACTGCCTGCCGCGGCCTTCACGCCCGGTCGCCCGGGGCTCTCTCACTGCACCTCGGTTCCGAAGACACCGCCGCTCGCCGTCCAGGCTAACCAAACACCCGCCACAAACCTGGCTTCCTCGGCAGCCCGCGGCTCTCACCCTGCTTTTCGCTTCCGGGTTACAGCACAGCGTCAGTGCGGGCCTTAGGGGCACCACCGGGCAGTCCCGCGGAAAGCGGCGGTCGAGGGCCTCAATGGGACGTGCACAGCCTCTCCTCTGACCTCGCGCCCGCTCGGGAGCAGCCCTGGCGGCGCACAGCAGCCACAATAGACCCGCTGCGCGTCCCCGCCCCTTCCGCTCGCGCGCGGCTGACTCCGTCTGTCCCGCCCCTTCCGCTCGCGTGCAGGCCCCGCCCACATGGAGGTCTTTCTCCGGCCTCCACCCGCCAGATCCATTGTCCCGTCAGTCCCTTCTCTCTCTGTTTCCCCGTTCCCTATTCATGTTTTCCTGCCATGACAGCGGTTTTCCGGGATCTCTGACAAGAGTAAACTTATGGGTGAATGCACCAACAAGAAGTAGCAGTCCCACGCCTCGTCCCTCCCCTTTGTAGCCCTAGTTATTGCACAAAGTCAAGCTGCGGTGCCTCGGGCGCTCCAGTCTGGTTCAGACAGACTGGGCTTCCAGACACGTCTTCAAAGTCGGGTTTTCCTCCTTTTTTTTTAATGTTTATTGTTTATGCTTATAAATGATTTTCCTGCGCGCTTATTTATACCATTTATACCATGCATTGCAGGCAGAGGCCAGTCGAGGCCCCTGGGACTGCAGTGATAGTGGTTGTGCATGTAGGCACTGGGAACCCAACCCTGGCTCTCCGCAAAAGCCCCAAGTGTTCCTCACCTCTGAGCCATCTTTCCAGGTTCTTCTGTCCTCATTTTAAAAATATTTACCTTTGTTATTTTTACGTATGTGCATGTGTGTCTTTGTTTATATGGCATGTGTGTGCAGTGCCCACGGAGATCAGAGAGGGCGTTGATCCCTTGGAACTGGAGTTTCAGGTGAAGTGAGCCTCCATGTTTTGGGAATGGATTGTGCTTCCCTGGAAGACTGCAAATGTTCTTAACTGATGAGCCATTTCTCCAGCCCCAGCTTGTCTCTTTTGAAAACTTAGGGTACTCTACTTTGTGAAATGCCGTGTATATGTTAAGGATGTCAGTTATTTTTCACAAATAGTTTTCCATTTATTTGTAGTTATTTTTTAAAATGTTAAAAGGGTAACAAGGTGATAATGTAGAAACAAGTAAATTCTCTTTTGTGAGCTGACACTTAAATCAGATAATTGGAAACAATGTCCATTGGGCTGTAGGTAGAACTATTAAAAACTCAATAATCATAGGCATTGTGAAATGATAGCAATTTAGAAATAGCAAACAGATAAGTTTGAACAAAACTTCCCAGACAGAAGCTATACCTGAATTGACCTTTGCAAGACTGATTAACTGATCATAACTTCAGTGATTTGGAGAGTTTGGGATGTTGCAGGTCCAGAGACAAATGATCTTGGGCCATCTTTAGCCTCCTCAGTAGCCATTTATTATTCTTCTGTGGGACCAAGTAGTTTTGTGACCATTAGATATTTGGAATGTACTGATTTTTCCATTGAAATATATTAACTTAGCTAAGTGTTGTCAGACTGTTGGGTCCACGGGGGTTGTACAAAGATGGAGAACAGACCACCAAAGTCTATTAAACCAGAAGCAAACTTTATTCCAGGAAAAAAAATACTAAAAAAATAATTCTCTGTGGGGCACAAAAAACTTATCAGCTAGCTGAGACCACAGCCAGAGATGGGCTTGTTGTAAGCCTGTGGCAATGGGCTGTTTCCAAACTCCCCTTTTTATAGCAAGAAGCAAGCATTAGGCATGAACAAAAGAATTTTTACAAACTTGAGGTAAAACTCAGATACAAATTGCCTTTTTCCCCCTATTTCCATTAACAGGGTTTTTCAGTTAAATTAGTATTTGTATTTAGCCCATTGTTTCTCTCTGGCACTTTCTGATGGTGTTTACTAGCATTCCCCTGACACAGCCAGTTTTGCATAGCAGGGAAGGGTGTGGGAAAATGCACAACCAAATAGTCACGTACATCCCATCATTTAAAAGTTAACTCAGCTCACATCAGTTGCTGGTCATGAGTGAAAGGGGTTATCTAAAAGCTGACCCTCAGTTAGCAGAGGATTTCTCAGTTTGCAGAGGGGTGCTTCAGCCTTGCAGAGCTATGGGTTGTAAAACAAAGTTACCCACTGTTAATAGTTAATCTTTAAGCTGCTGAGAAAGCTGCTGACAGCCTGCTATCATTCTCCTAGGCTTACAACTTTCTATTTCTTTGTTTCTACATTCTTATTTCTGGAATCTACATTTCTTTATTCCTATATTTGGACTCTTCAGAATAGCTTCGAAGCCTATGGCTGAGCTTTCTCCTCTGGCCTATAACCTGATTCTGGTGTCTCCACCAATCTATTGAAAATGTGTCTTGATGTTCACTACTTTCTTTTTCTGTTACTATAGAAACTTCATGAAACAGCTTCCACATTGAAACATCTAATTTTGGGGTGGCCTAAATCTGTGTTCCCTGACCATGACCACTCATAATTGGCTCCCAAATAAACTATCTCTTATCCCCTTTGTGATTTTTCTGTCAGAATTATATTGCTTGGTGTTTGTTGTCTATTGCAGGATAACATACCACTCTAAAGGCATAGATATTGCAGCAAATGTTTTGTTGTTCACAGTTCCACGGCAAGGAATGCAAGCAGTGTTTAGCAGAGGTTGCTGGGCCTTGCTTTGAGATGTCAGATCTGGCGCATGAACTGGGATTGGATGGTCTAGTGACTTCACTTACACTCCTGGGCTTGGTGCTACCTTTCTGCTAGAGCAACCTGCTCTTCTCCACTCAAGAATGTCACATGCATTTAGTCTCACCCATCATTAGGATGATGGTCAGCCTGAACATTCTTACTTACCTGGTGTCTGGCTTCCACAAGAGTGAAAGAGAAAGGAAAACGTAGACCTGGAATCAGCATTACATCACCTCTGCTGTACTTTGTTGATAGAGAACTAGATTCATGGAAAAAGGTACAGGTTCTTCCTTTGGCTTGTAGCAGCAGCTTGAGCATAAGAGGAAAATTTAGCAGTTATTTTTGCTTCAAACCTATTGCATATTCTTTTACTGAGAAGCTTTTGTTTAGGAATGGAACACCTGAAAGACAAGGCTATATTATCTGCAGTAAAGTTTTCAGTTGCTACAATGGGACCTTACTAAGTATCCTTCTGTAGAAGCCTCCTCTGCATTTGACCTACATAGTTATATGCATGAAGCCGTTCCCAGGGCTGATGGATTTAGTGTCCCGGCAAAGGCTGGTAAGTCTCCAGACATCTGTCTATTTGAGGTCTGCCATCTTTGTGCTGGGTTGTTCTCTGTTCTGGTTTCCATTTCTGGCCCCCACATGGTGCTCGCAGGTCCAGGAGACAGATGGTGTCTGAAGCAGGAAAAGGGTGCACGGCTTTCTTCTCTGTTTCAAGGCTAAGGGACCTGCTTGTTAATCAGATTTTCTCCTTGTGTCTCATTAGTTGAAATTGCTGTAATTGCTTGTGCTTAGGCAATGGGTACAGGGAAGGCGTCTGGGATAGCTTTATGTCAATTAAGGACTACACCCCAGCACTGAGTGGGGAGCCAGCCTCTTCTGAAGGACACAGGTCTTCTGGGAAGGGTGCATGAAATTCAGATTATGTGAGAAAGGTAGAGAAGTGCGATAGATAGATAGATAGATAGATAGATAGATAGATAGATAGATAGATAGACAGATAGATAGACAGACAGATAGATAGATAGTTGCTGTGTGTGCAACAGTAGCATCCATTTCCGTGGGTCATCAGATTCCTGAGTATACAAGATGAAACACTGGAAAAATGTCAGGCTCTTAGCGTTCCTTACAAGATGAGACCAGGTCCATCTGTTTCTTGCCTTATTATAGGCTGCTCTGCCATGCCTGCCCCCACCATGATGGATTGACTCTTTGAAACCTGCTCTGTTTCTGAGGACATTCTTGACTCAAATGATAGAATATGCTTGAGAAACACAAAAGAGCAGTGGTTAAAGTCCCCCACTGACATGGAAGTGATGCTTGAATTAAGAACCCTTCGAATCATTGGCCTGTCCTGCTGCCGTTTATTGGCGTGAAGGGGCCAAGAATAAGAAGACAGAAATGTAGATTCCAGAACTAGAAATGTAGACGTAAAGAAATATAAAGTTGTGAGCCTAGGAGAATGAGAGCAGGCTGTCAGCAGCTTTCTCAGCAGTTTAAGGATTAACTATTAACAGGAATGTAATATAAAGCCTTAGCCTTATGAAAGCTGCTAACATATAATAGACTGTAAGGAGATACAAGTTAAGAGTCATCTTAGAAATGTTCAAGCTCGAGGCTGGAGAGATGGCTCAGAGGTTCAGAGCATTGCCTGCTCTTCCAAAGGTCCTGAGTTCAATTCCCAGCAACCATATGGTGGCTCACAACCATCTGTAATGGGGTCTGGTGCCCTCTTCTGGCCTGCAGGCATACACACAGACAGAATAGTGTATACATAATAAATAAATAAATATTAAAAAAAAGAAATGTTCAAGCTCTTTGGTTATAGTCATGTTAAATACTGATGTGGTTAATTGCAGGGATAAATCTTACCTAGTCCCCTGTGTGCTAACGGCAAATAATTGGTGGCAAAGGTGTCTGCTCAGATATACCTAATGGAGAGACAGAGACAGTTCTCAAATGCTCAGAGATCTGCAGAAAATAGCATTTAAGATGTTTTACTACAAAGCTTTTCGTAATAGAGAGACATGCCAGCTCCAGACAGTTCCCCTATTTCATCCAAAGAAGATAGATTGGGAC